TTTACAACTTACGAAATGATCTCGGTATTTTTGGTTTTCTAAAGCTGCCTCTAAAGAACGCAACTCCTCATGCGTTCGTAATGGGAAATGTATAGCACCACTATCCAATTCCTCTGTACGCCTGTCGGTTACACCCATGGCTAAGCGTTCACACAAAAATAGGATTTTGTCTATTTTCGTAGACAGCTCACTGACCGATTTCAGGAGCGTTCTTAACATTTTGTTTGTATCATCGCACAAACTTTTGTTATAAGGAATACAGTAAATGCAACTTACGGTTTATCAACTACCGTCGACGTACGTGGAAGTGGTTGTGATGATACGTCAGCTTTTGATGAACTACTATATGAGTATAGATAAAGTAGGTACAAACCCCGCAACCGGAGAAAAGTTTCCTGTCAAAATGTTGACAACTGGAAATTCCATCGGGGCAAATCCAGCCTCAACCTCAGCAACCTCTAGTTCTTCTGAGGTGCATAAATAATCAGTATTTTTTCGTTTGGCAGTCCTAACACAAGTGATATAATAAGTTCAACAATTTACCTTTTCGGTTTGTCAGCATGACAAGACTGCGTTTCATCGTTAGTCCTGATGTTTGTATTGTAGCCCAGTACTATTGTTAAACACACTTTTAATTCCTGGGCTACATTGTAGTCGTCTGAAAACAATAAATGTTAACTGATTACGACTTACCACAACCATGCATAACGGTGTATTTTCGCAGCGTGAACCGACTATCGACATCAACAACCTGAACATTTTCATGCTCACTAACATGATCGTGATAAACGTAATGATCCTTAATCACCAGCCATTTGCTGGGAATGCAGACCACTTGCATCTTCTTGTAATCCACCAAAATGTACTTCCTACTTTGATAGATAGCTTCGAGTTCCTGTAACTGACGATTTGCTTGGAGGAATCATCAGTTACCTCAGGCTCATCTTTTGTCGAAAGATGAACGGCTGGAGACATTTCTGACATGACACAGCCTATAAATTTCTAATAATTAAAGAGATACTACCTCTGCTTGTGTTATCTGGACACTGGACGTAACTACATGAAGCAGTAGCTGTATCTCTGACAATATTAGCCCACTGCTCTTTAGCTGCGGTAGTACGCGATTCTGTGACGACAACTGGATTTTCTATCTCTTCGTCACAGCTCGGTAGCTGACACTTCTCTATGAACTGTGCTTTTAACTTCCTCAACCTTCTGTAATAGGTTGCTCAGGAACAGCCAAGCAACCTCAGGTATTTCGCGGCTTCTGCCCGCCTTTTCGCAATCTTATCGACCTGTCTATTATTATTCTGAAAGAAATAGTTGACTTAAGTAAGACTGAACACAGACAGCAACCAAATTTTTCGACCTGCACTGCTAACAACTCACGTGCAAAGCTTTCGAATTTTGAAAAAGTGGTTTACAACGGACAACTCTTTGCTTACTGTCTGTTTGTTAAAACAAGACCTGAAATTCGATAGACTATCCCTCATCAAAAGTCTGTATTGCATTAAAATATGAATTTATTTATTCAAATTTACTACTTTGAGGCTTATTTATATTATGTAGATGAAGTGTTAGTGTGCAAAAATGCGCTACGAACATTTTGGGGATTCCCCAAAATTTCCCCAAAGCTGACAGCTTGGGACGTATTGTTCTCCAGACTGTCATCCGCAAGTAAATTTTGTCGACTGAGGTAGTTTTGGTGATTTCTTAACGTGAGTAAGGGGAAATGAAGAACATGAATTAATACTTTCGAGGACACAACTTTTGACCCGTTTTATTCCGGATATATCCGGACGCTATAGCGTCTTACTTAACCTTACTCCCCGCATATGTCCTCAGATGGGTTTCTTGTTCACCTTTGTACTTTATCTCATTCCAAAACTGGAGAGTTTCTGTATGCTTTGTCATAATCTATAACTATCAAAACAACAGGCGAACCGCTATCTTTGGTTCCTACCAATCCACTTCTGCAGTTATTGAGTTGTTGCTCAAAAGTTAATAGATGGTGTGGCTTCTTATCTGTTAAGCTAGTTGAGCTTTTAGGTCCGTAGATAGACATGATTTCCCCTTCCATGCCTATTTAGAAGGCTAACGATAAAATCCTCCCAACCACTACGGTGTTAGTTCTGGGGAGGTCACATGTCGAATAGCTCCTTGAGTGGTTTGAAATCCCAAATACAGATACGCGTGAAAAACCCAATAAAAGGACTACAAATGGATGAAAACATTGGTACGATTCAGATTTGTGTAGTAAGGACAGAAGGCCTACGGCCTATGTTATTTCCTTTCTATATGCTTCTGTGAGTGTCCAGTCTTCTCTTGAAAGAGTCAATTGAAGGTGCGGCCGCCGTCTTAAGATCATTACTCACTGTCACCCCTATATCCTTTTTTGAGACCAGACTACGGGTAATGACACATCCCCTATGTTGTACTTATTAACCTTCGAATCCCCAAAGTGCATGTAGACACACTTTTCCGAGTTGATAGGCATCAGCCACTCTTTAGACCAGTTTATCATATTATTTAAGTCTGCCTGAAGGGTAAATGCGTCTTTGTCTCCAGTTATTACTCGACAAATTTTTACATCGTCAGCATATAATAACATTGGAGACTGTACTATACTTGTAAGATCATTAACGTACATTATAAAAAGTAAAGGACCTAAGATGAAACCTTGGGGTACTCCACTAAGTACTGGTCTCCAGATGGAGCACTTGGAATTTATTCTTACTTTCTGCCTACGACCTACTAGGAAATCCTTAATCCATTTTGAAAGAGGTCCGGCAATACCTAGGTGTTCCAACTTCAATAGCAGTCTATTAGTTGGCACCTTGTCAAAAGCCTTACAGAAATCTATGTAGACAACATCCACTGAGTTTCTGCTGTCTAGCGCATTAATCCAGAACTCTCTTGCTACAAGGAGGTTCGTTGTACAGGATAGACCCTTTCTAAAACCATGCTGTGCCATGTTCAGCAAGTTATTGGTTTCCATAAATGCCGTTATTGTCCGTTTGATTATTCTTTCCAGTATTTTAATTACAACACTGGTGAGGCTTACGGGTCTGAATTTGGATGGAACTTGTCGTGGACCTGTTTTATGTATGGGAGTGACGATTGCGTCCTTCCAGTCCATAGGTAACACACCTTGGTCAAGTGACATATTGAATATCACAGTCAGTGGGGCCGCGATATATTGGGCAATATGTCTCAAGATTTTGGGGTGTAGTTCATCTGGTCCTGTTGACCTCTCCATGTTTAGGGTGCTAAGAGCCTTAAGCAGATCATTTTGGTCGAAGTCCATGGTGAGCAGCTGGTTTGTTGACTCTATATTTGGGTCTGGTTCTTTCTCTAGAGGAGGTTCCTGAGTGAGTCAGCCATAGCCTCTGCTTTTTCCTGGACTTCCTCTATCATTTCAGATTCACTTCCTTCTTTTATTAGGTTGGGAATCCAGTGATGCATCCTTGTTCTGTAGTTTATGTAGGAGAATATTCTCTTGGGCTGCTTGAGTGCAGATTGTGACAGCTGCATTTCATATTTTCTTTGAGCTTCCCGAATTTTCGTTATACACTCGTTTTTTATCGATCTGTAGCGTTCCATCGTACCTGCTGTGCCAAGGCGGATAGCAACGCCCCAGCATTTCTTCTTTTGTCTTAGGAAACGTCGAATATCCCGCCCTATCCAGGGATGTCCGTGCTTCTTTTTCTTTGGGACAGTTCAGGGTATGTATGGTTGAGTTACTCGATGGTATAACTGCCTGAATAGAGTCCATGCCTCTTGTACTGATGCCTTTGAGTCAAGTTCCCAGTTTTCAGCCGATGCTGCGGAGTTAATTGCCTGCACATCTGCCTTCCATATGTTGGGACGGGCCGGTGCAACTGTTTGGCAGGCAATCTCAGCCATGAATTTGAATAAGATGACTGCATGGTCACTTCTCCCAAGTGGTGGGAGAAAATCCATTTGACCAACGTCATCACCGTGTGTGAAGACTAAGTCTAAAAGAGAAGAGTTTCTTAAGTCGTATCTTGTGGGATCTCTAATGTGTTGGAATAATGCTAATCCAATCGAGGTTTCTAACAGTTTGCAGTCGAACGACGATATGGATGACCCTACTTCTAAGTTAACCCAGTTCATATGTGTTGCATTTGAGTCGCCTACTACAAGACTTTTACCGTTGTTACACCAGGACTTAAGTTTACTAAGGAGAAAATCATCTGCTACACATTCTGGACTGCGATAAACTACAACTACTTCAATATCTTGCCTTCGGCATTTCAACTTACATCTCACCAGTTCACATGTCCCTGAAACATGTGCTACTGTCTCAGCTAATCTTATGGTTAGGGTACTTTTCGTGTACAGAATAACCCCGCCTCACCTACAGTTTAATCTATCAGCCCTACTGGTTATGAAACCAGTCAACTGGATTTCACTAACTAATAATTCTGACGTTAACCAAGTGTTCGAGACAGCAATAACGTCCGGTTTTTCTTTATCCACCACTGACTTGAGCTCCGCCATTTTATTTAGTAGGCCGCGAGCATTTGTGTAGCATACCTTTAAGTCTGTGGAGAGCTTTCCCTTGCCACTCAGAGTGGCTTGGGGATTGTTTTGCTCCGAACTTTTACAATTTGAAAACCCTTAAGAACAAGGTTTCGTTCCCCGTTTTGGCGACATTCATTTATTTTCGCCTCTGCAGCTCATCTCTTAATACGATCAGAGGCAACTTGACCCATTCTTAAGGACCAAGGACAGCACCACACTATGATTTACCAATTTCTTTTCCTCTTTTATTGTTAACATACCTAGGTTCCTGCCTGGAGGAATTCGTGATCCCCTGCTACTAGACACGGAAGCCTGTTAAGCGAAAGCTTCTTCTATTCCGTCCACAACCATTTGAACCATTTAGACTGAGATCCTCACGGACATATATTCCGGATCCTATCAGTTTACGTGAATTACTTAGAATCAGGTTCCTTTCTTCCACCCTGTTGAATGTAACCTTCAGGAGGCGGTTCTTCGAAGGACTTTCGGAATCCACATTTTTCCCTATTCTATAAAGCTTACAAATACTGACTCCTGAAACTGTATCTGGGAATAGTTTACTCAATGATGGTAGTAGGAGACATGCATATGTTTTGTTATAAGCTTTTTTTGAATATCGATTGTAGTAAAATTACAATTTAAGGATAACTGAGAGTATTTTGCGTTACCCACTTGTTCTTTTCTGTTTAGGACTTGGGATCACCCTCTGCAAATGTTACATCTGAATGCGCTACTTTTCATTCCAGATTAAGTAGCTTTCGGCGAAACACCCTTAAATTGGTGAAAGTGTTAATAGAAATAATATTTCGAAAATACTGGGAGTAAAGGAAAAAGTTGATAACTGAATGAACTCGTTTTATTATAGGTGTGTTGCTGATAGAAATTTACTGACTATCTACACCATGAAAGATTGTTTCTTCAATAAGAACCAATAAGAGAAATCCGAAATAATTCTGCTGTTCTCATGGTTCTAGGGTTATCGAAGTGAAGAGCACGGGAGACCTTTTAAGAACACTTTTCCAGTTCTATAGAGTTCACCTATTTTCGAAACTTGCACCTAAAATCCATGCAGCAAAAAGGTTAAGCAACTATCAAGACTGGCCTTTTCGAATCCGTCCTTCTAGATGTGGATCGAAGCTATTATCGTTGTTTATAGGAAAGAACGTAGTAAGACTCAAGACCTGAGTATAGATGAAAAGATTTAGAAGAAGTTCACTCTTAATCCAGTTTGTATACAGAACAAATCAGTGAGTCTCTGTCCCTATTTCCTTCCCAAGTACTTTGGGAAATTCACTCTGATTCACCGAATAATAAACATCCTGGATACTAAAGTAAATCATGTTTTTTGTTTGAATTCCTCTCATCATTGTCTCATAACAGTATTTCGTCGTTTCTCAGCAAAGTCGCTTAAGATTTTTAGTACTAGTACTATTGCGAAGTGATTAAATAGCCTATTAACCGCGGCAAGACTTTAATTTATAGCAGGCCCCAAATTTTAGAGCGAAATTCAGTCATCTATTTGGTTAAATAGAGCTTTTGAATTATAGCTGAGGTCAGTTCATTATGAAAACCCTAAATCTAATTCATAAACCTAATCATCAATTGTAAATCATAATTTTAACTCCGCACACTGGTTTACAGGTCCGAAGGCGAAGTCGTACTGCTGACTGTACAGAGGTGTGACAGCAGTAAGGTGTTTCCTTCAGACAACCAGCATGACAGCGATGCTGCCTTCCCACAAGGAGGGGTGGGGTTAGAAAAGGTCGACCCTAAAAATGCACACCTCGCCTTATCCCACGGATATCCGTCTCCGGCGGTAAGGTCTCAATAAGTACGGAGCTAACACAAAAATTACCCATAACAAGGTCGTGTGTGACCGACCTCAAGCAGTTGTCCCTTGGGCACTGCGGTCACGCTCTCAGGTCACTAAGACCACCTTTAATCCAAATTCCTTTTCAGGTACCCCCAGAACAACCCTTCCACGGTGTGGGCAACCGGGAAGTGAAAACCGCCCTCATACCTCTAACAGCACTCAAGACCACTGTATTCATAATCAACCTTCCTCTTCAATTCCTATTATTCCTCCTACATCGACTTTCAACTTTAAATTTCCTCTCTCGGCTTCCACCTCAAGTGTCACCATAGCCAACGATTCTAGTGCGCAAAATACTGTCCCAGGTCTACTGAAACCTCGCTCCAAACTACACATTGGAGCCTTCAACGTACGAACCCTATGTCAAATCGGTCAGCAGGCTTCCTTGGCTAAAACCCTAGAGTCTCTTACCATTGACGTGTGCTGTGTCTCCGAAACACGCATACAGGATTCCAGTGTGGTCATTCACTTGACCTCACCTCGGCAAAACGGAGAGCCAACGAGGTACACCCTTCGTTTATCTGGTGATCCGATGGCAAGTTCTCGTGGACTGGCAGGTGTAGGCATAGCACTAAGCATGAGGGCGGAACAAGCACTGCTAGAGTGGACCCCCGTCAACAGTCGTCTATGTGCTGTTCGGCTGAACGGCTACGTAAGAACTCGGAAGGATAGGAACACACGTCGTTGCCTTTTTGTCGTTTCTGCCTACGCTCCCACTGACTGCAGCTCAGATGATGTGAAAGATGAATTTTACAGAAAGCTGTCCGAACTTCTTCAGAAAGCTAAACGCTCAGACATAGTACTCGTAGCAGGTGATTTTAATGCTCAGATAGGCAGTTTAAACCAAACAGAAAGGCATTTAGGTGGATATTTTAGTATTCCGACACAGCGAACAGATAATGGTGATCGTCTGCTGCAGCTATGCTCAGACAATCGTTTATTTTTAGCAAACACAAATTTTAAGCATAAGGAGAGACATCGTCTAACATGGCGACCCCCTACACCAAACCAACGATGGACTCAAATAGACCATATTGCCATCAGTCATCGTTGGAGAGGGTCGGTAGAAGATTGTCGCTCATTCTGGAGTACCTGCTTGGACTCCGACCATGCCCTAATACGGGCACGCATCTGCTTGCGCCTCACTGGACGCAAAAAAGCCACATTAAAAAGACCCGTTAGAACTGAGTTAAGTAACGAGAAAACCAAAAGTAGGTTCCAGGAACAACTGAGGTCACACTTAGGTAGTTGTGAAGACGAGGCTGACCCAGATGTTGCTTGGAAGGGCATACAATCAGCTGTGGAAACAGCAGTGACATCTATTAGTGACTTAAACCACAGAGTTGTAAGGAACCAGTGGATTTCTTCAAGGTCTGTCACACTGATGGATTCTCGCAAACTCGTCCCATCAGGTTCTGAACATGATGAAGAGCGAAAACAAATCAGATCTAGGTTAAGAAAAAGCCTAAGAAACGACCGTGAGCAATGGTGGGCATCGAAAGCAAAAGAGATGGAAAAGGCAGCGACTATAGGGAACACAAGACAGCTTTACAGACTAATAAAAGAAACTGGAATTAATAAGTCAAGTGTAAGTGAGATTATATCGGAAAAAGACGATACACTCATCTGCTCCAAGTCCACGCGTTTAGAACGATGGGCGGAACACTTTAGGGAACAGTTCAGCTGGCCTTCAGCTACTCTACAACTACCCTCCATTCCCAGACAGTGTGAATGGAACATTGAAGTAGGTCCCCCGACTCTTGCTGAAGTTCAAAAGGCTATAGTTAATCTGAAACGAGGAAGGGCAGCTGGTCCAGATGGATTGGCTCCAGAGGTCTTTAAGGATGGTGGTCCAATTTTAGCGATTAAGTTGACTAATATTTTAGCTAAGATCTGGGAATTAGACTTTATCCCATCTGACTGGTCGCAATCACTTATCGTCCCAATATATAAGAAAGGGTCAAAATCATCCTGTGACAACCACAGAGGGATTAGTTTAACAAACATAGTATCTAAAATACTGGCCTCGATAATTATCAAACGCCTAACTAAGACTCGTGAACTACAAACTCGAGAGAACCAAGCTGGCTTTAGACCTGGTCGTGGCTGCATCGACCACATATTCACCATTCGTCAGGTTCTAGAACACAGGCATACCTATCGGCGTCCGACGATGGTGGTATTTCTTGACTTAAAAGCAGCATTTGACTCGGTAGACCGCGAGACTCTGTGGCAGTGTCTGTCACTGAAAGGCGTACCTCAGAAGTACATAAACCTTGTGAAGGCTCTTTACTCGAACACTACTAGTCGAGTCAGGGCTTATGGCGAACTGTCATCTACTTTTGCAACCTCAAGTGGTGTCCGTCAAGGCTGTCCACTTTCTCCATTTTTGTTTAACTTCATCATAGACCTATTGATGGAAATAACATTCTCGTCGACTGAATTCTCGGGTATTGATCTCCTTCCAGGAGGTCCACTTATCGACTTAGAATACGCAGATGACATAGTCCTGTTTGGTGAAGACGCTGAGAAAATGCAGAGTCTTCTGGTAGCACTAAGTAACAATGCCAGAATGTTTGGGATGCGCTTCTCTCCCTCTAAATGCAAGTTGTTGCTTCAGGACTGGTCTCCGTCAACACCTGAACTAAGGATAGGGAGTGAAGTAGTTGAACGCGTTGACAACTTCACTTATCTTGGAAGTCTGATCAGCCCTAATGGGTTGGTGTCTGACGAAATCTCAGCACGGATTCGAAAAGCTCGTTTGGCTTTTGCCAACTTACGTCACCTGTGGCGATGGCGAGATATCCGTCTATCATTAAAAGGACGAGTATACTGCGCGGCAGTTCGTTCTGTTTTACTTTACGGCAGCGAAACATGGCCCTTAAGAGTAGAAGACACCCGTAAGTTACTAGTATTTGACCACAGATGCCTTAGAAATATTGCTGGCATCTGCTGGGATCACCGGGTAAGTAATAGTGAGGTTAGACGCAGGGTATTAGGGAATGATGGTGAATCAGTTGATGAGGTTATGAATCTTCATCGACTGAGATGGTTGGGCCACGTATTACGTATGCCTGAACACCGATTACCACGACGTGCAATGCTAACCGGGGTAGGGGATGGTTGGAAGAAAGTTAGGGGCGGCCAAACCAAAACGTGGCATCAGTGCCTGAAGTCACTAACTTCTAGTCTGAGCCATGTTGGTAGATGCAGACTACTTGGTTGGGGTCCGCGTGACTGTTGTAACCAATGGTTGGAGACTCTTGGTGACATGGCTCAGAATCGATCACAATGGCGTCGGTGTATACACTCCCTGTCTTCCCTTAAACTAAGAGACTAAAATAACTTCATTCTTTCTGTCTACGAACTAATTCTTTCTTCCTATACTATATCCTTATTGCAACCTTTGACCTAACCACTCCTATGAATCCGCTGTTCATCTTGCTGTGCTAATGAGGTATGGCAACCTGGACCGATGCACATATGTGCCTGGTCCTACGTTGTAGCTGACTGACTGACACTGGTTTACAACCCTCATTTAGTCATAGTTATCAAGTGGACACTCCCAAGGTCACTCGAGCGTTGCTAAAAGGTCGTCCATAAATTATAGTCACACCGCCCATTGTTAATCCCCAGACAACCCAAAAAGGGGAAATAAAGGGGTAAATGCTTTGGTAACGAAAGGGGAAATAAAGGGGAAAACGCATCAGAATGTCGCCTTTTTCGCCTGTCCGGGGGAAATAATGCGGATTTTCCCCTTTTTCGCCTTTTTGTCGACAAATTACCGACTTATCGCCTAAATATCCGCTGAATTATCGCATTTTCGCCTAAATATCCGCTGAATTTTCGCATTTTCGCCTAAATATCCGGGTAATATATTACCCGGGCTCCCAATTTTGGGGAAAATTTGGCAAATTTTGGGGAAATTGCACAAAACCCCGAAATTTCTTCAAACGTTGAGGACTTCCCCAAAATCGGTAGTTCGGGAAGTAGTCATCTATAAAGTTATTTAGGGTTTATAAAGTATCGGCGAGACTAATTTAAGGACGACCTTTGAACGAATCTTAAGTGACCTTGACAATTATTAGCCAATCAGGAGAAAGTTAGTATAAAGTGAAAATATATTATATGAAAGTAATGAATTACAGTGGATATTCTCCTTTTACATGATTTAAAAACTTGTTAAGGTTTGATTAAGGTTCAGAGGTTCTGAATTCACAATGCATATGGAATAGAAACTCGTCCATTGGGTTAGGGTTAGGTTTACGGGTAAGGTTAGGGTTAGGTGAGGGTTTAGGGTTAGGATTAAGGTTAGGGTTAGGTGAGGGTTAAGGGTTAGGGTTAGGATGCTAAAATACGAGTTTTTAAATCATGTCAAAGAAGAATATCCACTGTAATTCATTGCTTTATTTTAATATATTTTTACTTCATGCTGTCTTCTGATCGACTAATAATTGAAATTGCTCAAACGCTTCTGACTGGCTCGTCCCTAAATTAGATTCTCGCCAGTTCGTAGCTCAGGTGGATAATCAAAATATCCCATTCATTTTTCCCGTTTTTTTGTTTAATATTTGTATTCGTTTTATAGCATCATGAATGCAACTGTTAAAAGACCGCTTGGGTTATTGATCTTATTGTTTTGGAGTTACTTCTTCACTTCGCTAGCTCGGAGAGCCATACAGAATATATATCCTATAATTCCAGTAGAATATAAAGGAACTAAATCAAATACTCATTTAGGTAAGTCATGTCGTAAATTATTCTTGATACTGCGTAGGTAAAGTTTTGGTTAAGTTGTGTAACCACTTAACTTCTAGCTTGCAAATTGTGGGTCACATGTTTTGTGTTATTCTGTAGCGTCGTTTTTATTATAAAGTGATTGTAATCCATCACAGTTCCATTAGATCTCTTGTTAGTCTCTTTTAACTTTTATTCAGAGCTGTCGTTCATGCATTCATAAATAATGCATAAGCATCAGTGCTTGAAGTCATTAAATTCTGGTCTGAGCCATGTTGGTAGATGCAGACTATTTGGTTGGGGTCCGCGTGACTATCGTGGCCAATGGTTGGAAACTGAGTGACATGGTTCAGAACCGATCACTATGAAGTAGGTGTATACACTCTCTATCTTCCCTTAAAGTAAGAGATTAAAATCGCTTCATATCTCTCTTTCTACGAACTAATTCTTTCTTCCTGTACTATATTCTTATATACAATCTTTCTTTTATATATTACCACCATTGACCTAACTACTATGAATCCGGTGTTAATCTTGCTGTGCTAATGCGGTATGGCAACTTGGACCGGTGCATATATGTGCCTGGTCCTACCTTGTAGCTGAGTGACTGAATGCACAAGTAGTGGTGTTTACGCTTATCAGCCTTTTGGATATGATTTAGTGTTTGTAGGATAAGATACTTATTACTAAATGTTAAAACTTTGTGCTCTTTTCCGTTTAGAAATTGCTATAAACACCCAGTATCTGATCAGTTCGAATGGTATCAACATTTTGTTTACAGTACCTCTGAAATAAGTTGTATATTACTTCCTTAATCTTATTCCAGGTTCCATAATTACTGCTCAAACATTGGGTTATACAGTTACCAAATTAATTGGTGGGATTCTTATGGATCACTTAAATCCACTTCGAATTTTTGTTTACTCTCTGATTTCAGCCTCAGGTTCACTGTTTCTTCTATCAGGTAAGTAAATATTTTTCTCGCTTGACTTGTACTTATTGAAACAAACTTTTTGATCTCCCGTCGTTTTAAAGTTTATTATTTATAAGTAAATAAACGGAAACTATGGAAAATTCCTTTTTTATTGTATTACATCACATCAACTTATTTAACGAATATATAATTAAATTTATAAAAAGTAGAAACAAATTCTGTCATGTTTCTTTAGTCTCATCTCATCAAATAGTTTGGTTAGTATCCTATGGATTAATCGGCTTAGCACTTGGTTCTAGTTGGCCAGCCATATCAAAGACACTTCGTACCGTAAGTTGACGCAAAATTTGTAATTCTATTTATATTATTTATTTATTATTATTTATAAATGACAATTTTTGAAATGGCTTAGTCATAATTTCCTGTGAATACCTTTTTTTTCTAAAACTCCAGATAAAAATGAAAACTAGGAATCATTTTTATAAGAAAGATTAATTCAAGTAATAAAATCCATGTAGAAGAAATAATGTGTTAATTTATACTATGATTTCGTTTTACCAAAGTACCGTTTGTTTTAAGCGGATATCTTTTTACTTACGAATTATGTTCTCTTCCTAACTGGTATAGACTATTATTCACATTAAACTCTTAATAGTAAGCGTCCATCCATTCAAGCTAGTGGAACAGAGGCTATAATATATATACGCATCATTTTGTGAATGTGCATGAAGCTGCGGTTCTTTCGTTAAGTAGCCCAAGGGCTGAACATTAAGTCATAAGTATGAATCATATCCCATCAATCGAGATATTAGTAGCCCAACAGGATTACTGTTACTTACTTACTTACATACGCCTGTTACTCCTCGTGAAGGAGCATAGGCCGCTCACCAGCATTCTCCATCCAACTCTGTTCTGGACAATCCTTTCCAGCTCCTTTCAGTTGTTATTCATCCTTTTCATATCTGCTTCTATTTCCGACGTAATGTGTTCTTTGGCCTTCCTCTTTTCCGCTTCCATTCAGGATTCCAAGTTAGGACTTGCCTCGTGATGCAGTCTGAAGATTTGCGTAATGTATGTCCTATCCATTTCTATCGTCTTTTCCCAATTTCCTCTTCAGCTGGAAGCTGGTTTGTTCTCTCTTACAAAAGGCTGTTGCTGATGGTATCCGGTCAATGAATGTAGAGTATCCTGCGTTGACAACCATGTATAAATATTTGTACCTTCTTGATGGTGATTGTTGTAGTTCTCCTAGTTTCAGCTCCGTACAGTAGAGCTGTCTTGACATTCGTATTGAAGATTCTTACTTTGATGTTAGATGACAGTTGTTTTGAGTTCCATATGTTCTTCAATTGAAGGCATGCGACCCTTGCTTTGCCGATCCTCTCCTTTACGTCTGCATCTGAACCTCCTTGTTCATCGATGGTGCTTCCTAGGTATGTGAAGGATTCTACATCTTCCAGAGTTCCGCCATCAAGAGTGATTGAATTGCTGTTCTCCGTGTTGTATTTGAGGACCTTGGTTTTCCCTTTGTGTATGTTGAGGCCTAGTGATACAGGGACTCCTGCTACACTGGCTGTCTTTATCTGCATTTGTTCGTGTGTATGCGAAAGGAGGACTAAGTCATCTGCGAAGTCCAAATCGTCTAACTGGTTCTGAGATGTCCACTGTATGCCGTATTTTCCCTCAGATGTCGAGGTTTTCATAGTCCAGTCGACCACCAGAAGAAAGAGGAAAGGCTAGAGTAGACAGCCTTGTCTGACTCCGGTCCTTACTTCGAATGCATCTGTCAGCCGTCCTCCATGCACTACTTTGCACTGTAGTCCGTCGTATGAGTTCCGGATGATGTTGACAATCTTCTCAGGAACTCCGTAGTGTCGAAGAAGTTTCCATAATTTCCACTTATCCAAACTGTCAAATGCCTTTTCATAATCAATGAGGTTGATGTACAGTGACGAGTTCCACTCAATTGATTGTTGGACGATGATCCGTAGTGTCACAATTTGATCTGTGCATGACCGATCCCTACAGAATCCAGCTTGTTGATCTCGAAGTTGGGAATCTACTGCGTCTTTCATCCGGTTCAGCAACACTCTGTTAAAGACTTTCCCTGGTACTGACAGTAGTGTGATGCCTCTGTAGTTTTCACATTTGCTCAGATCTCCTTTCTTTGGAATCTTGATGAGGTGTCCTTCTTTCCGGTTCATCGGCACTTGTTCCTCCTCCCAAATCTTTTTGAATAGAAGGTGGAGCATGTTTGTAGTTACTTCGATGTCTGACTTCAGTGCTTCAGCTGGTATATTGTCGGGTCCTGCTGCCTTCCCGCTCTTGATTTGTCCGATGGCCATTCTGATTTCTTCCGTCGTTGGTGGGTTGACATCTCTAGGAAGATCTGTGTGTGTTGCTTCGATGTCCGGTGGATTCATTGGAGCCGGCCTACTCAGGAGTCCCTCGAAGTACTCTACCCATCTGTTCCGCTGTTGAATTTCAGTGATTGGCCTGCCTTCTTTGTCCTTGACCGGTCTCTGTGGTTTACTATATTTCCCTGCCAGTTTCTACGTTGTATCGTAAAGCTGTTTCATATTTCCTTCTCTTACAGCTTTTTCCGCCGTCGTTGCTAGTTCTTCTAAGTATTTCTGCTTGTTGGCTCTAATGCTCTTCTTCACTTGCTTGTTTTCTTCTATGTACTCAGCTTGTGCTTAGACTTTCTCTGCTCGTGTTCGGCTGTTGTTAATTGCTGTCTTCTTTTTCTTCCTTTCTTTGATCCTGTCCAATGTTTCTATGGAGATCCATTCCTTATGATTATGCTTCTTGAGGCCCAGAACCTCTTGACACGTTGAAGTTAATGCTTCTTTGATGCCTTTCCAGTTGTCCTCCATAGTAGTTTCTTCTTCTTTCAGTAGATCCTGTAAGGCTTAAAACCTGTTGTTGAGAGCTATCTTGAATTCGTTGAATTTCTTAGTATCTCGAAGGAAGGCTGTATTGAACCTTTGTAGTGCTGTTTGTCCAATTGTCCAGTTCTTCTTTAGCTTCAGTTTTAAATTAACCACAAATAGGTGGTGATCTGAAGCTATGTCAGCTCCTCTCCTGGTTTTCACATCTCCCATTGTCTTTCGGAACTTTTTATTGATGCAAATATGATCTATCTGGTTCTCTGTGGTGTGGTCCGGTGGGATCCATGTAACTTTGTTTATACGTTTGTTTGGAAATATTGTGCCGCCTATGACCAATTTGTTGAATGCACATAGATTTGCAAATCTTTCCTCATTTTCGTTTCTCTCTCCCAGTCAATTCATGTCGTCCCATGATATCTTCCTATCCGGTGTTGTCTATTCCGACTTTGGCGTTTAGATCTCCCATCAGAATGGTGAGGTCATTTCTTGAGCACTTCTCTATGATTGATTGCAGCCTCTCATAGAATTGATCTTTAATGTCGTCGTTGCTATCATCGGTGGGTGCATAACATTGGATAATATTCATTGTGATCCCCTCCTTCTTTGTTTTGAATGATGCTTTGATGATTCTGTATCCGTGAGATTCCCATCGTACAAGCGCATTCCGTGCTACTTTGGACAGCATTAGAGCAACTCCATGAGTGTGTGGAGCATTTTCTTCTTCGTGACCGGAGTATAGCAGCATCTCTCCCGTATTTAGCCTTTGTTGTCCAGCTTGGGTCCAATGGGTTTCGCTGATTCCCAGTACTGCCAAGTTGTATCTCCTCATTTCCGTTGCTATTTGACTGGTCTTTCCGGTCTCCCACATTGTCCGGACGTTCCATGTACCTATAAAAATTGTTGCTCTGGTTGTTAGAAGGGGCATCGGCCTCATGGCTTCCGAAGGAGCTCGGCTTTCACCATGAGACGTCATATTTCTTCTAAATGAAAGCCTTCTGGTTCGGGTTTTTTACCGAGTTAGTTTTCTACGGGATGGGGTCCCTAACTCCATGCTCAACCCTCATTCTTTACTCGGGCTTAAGACCGGAAGTAACTCTAGAAGAGCTACAGGCAGAGTTAAGAGGATTACTGTACTTTTACTAACTTAGATTGTGGAGTCGTATGTACTTGACTCTGAGCCACGGTTTACGTAAGTGTCAATGATACTACTTGATTCCCTAAAATGTATTAGACAGATTTGAATTCAAACTTGAGACTCAATGATTGAAAGCAGAATGTTTGAATCACCGCTAATGCAAAGAGCATCATTCAACTTTAGCCACTAAATATCATTTACGAGATATTTTTTGCATTTTAATGGCCTTTCAGTTAGATTTGTACGTATTTAACTTACTTTTATAATATCTCTTTTTAGTCCCTATCTTCGTTTTTAAATTATCGGTGAATCTACTTGGTTTCGTAGAGAAACGACGCCGATGAAAATAATCTCTTAATTAATAAAAGAAACAAATATTTGATTAACAGTAACCTATTGTCTTACAGTTATTTAACTTGAAGTATTATCAATTACGTAAATTCCTAGTCCTAATTTAAAGTACATATGATTTTGTTTCTCAAAGTCTACTTAAATTACTTTTAGTCTGTGGCTTCTCATGAATTAGCCACTTGGTGGGGATTAATATCATCGTCTTCTAACCTAGCTGGTTGTATGGGTTCTTGGATATCTATCGTTATTTCTTCGTATGCAACAATATTTCTCGGTGATTTAGCATGGAGAGCTCCGTTCATTTTTGTTGGTAAGTACATGCCTTTTAACTGACCAGTGCATTCATTTTATATTGTGCTTATCATCAACTGTTACCCCCTATTTAAAGGCAAATTTTTGACCTTGTATGTCACTATTTAGTGCCTAATTAAAAAACAAATATCCCAAAAATTTATTACCATTCTTCCTGTATGAAAATTAATTTGACTTAAGCTTCAGTCATACATAATTTGTATTATTTCTTAACTACATTGACTTCATATTATCTTCTGGAACGAACTCCTAGTAACGTTATCACTTATCCTAAACAACGTTGATAAATAGATAAGTCCAGATATTTCAAGGAATAGATATCATTCAACTTTATTTCAAATTCATCTACTGATGCATGGTACAATAGCTGAATAATTATAAAATCACATTTTTAAGTGATTTTCACATCAGTATCATAGACCAAACAATACATTCATTCAGTGGTTTCGATTTGTATAACCCAGTTTTACATAAAATCTAGATTCGTCATTGTTTTCTATTATAATTTAAATCTTCAATATTTTTTCCTTGCTGGTATTGCTATTAAATGTAGACAAACTCCGATATATTAGCTACATAGTTGTTGCAGCTAATTGTCAAACCTTTTTTTTAATTTTTTCTGATATCTTTTATTTAAATCAACAAATGTGTTAACCTCAACATATTTATAATTGCACGTTTGTAAACATGAAATTCAAATTTGAAGTGATTTTTTTCTATTGATGTAAATCGTATTTTACACATCCCACGTAATATAGGAATCCTAATGCAGTAAATTCTCAATTGTTTCCTACATTACTGTAAACCCCATATTTTTCTGGGGAAGGGGGTTGAAATAAGCGGAATAAAGTTTAAACCTTAGTTCCACTGGTTGTGGGCTGAGTGGTTTGATGATTTTCCCACCAGCTAATTTAGTAAGACAGTTTTTAAAAAAAAATTAAATGTATACAAATTATCATTATTAATTCTATTGTCATTAATCATAACCTGCTCGATCAGTATTATAGGAAGTACATGACCAATGAAGTCATTGTGATTATGATAACATGTACGATCACCAGACGTAAAAAAATATTTTCTCGAATAGTAGTATATCAATTGAAGTTGCAACACTTTTCACTAATCGAAACCAGAAAAGCTTAATCGAATTGGAAAATTTTGAGAATGATCCAGTTCTTCGCAATGTTTAGATCACCAACCAGAAATTTCATGAATAACTATTACCTCCTGATCTGGTTACTCTAACATATGCTATTTATTGAATTTCTTCAAAACATCTGGTAGTCAGCGATGTATCCTCCGAAACACTTGAATTTCTTCGAGTTTTAATTTCATCGAAAATATTCAGCCTGAAATATAATCAAAGTCAATTGTTTATTTTATTTAACTAATTGTAAACTGATATCACTTTTTTGAAATTTACCATCAAATCAGTAACATTCTTGGATTCCCTATAAGTAGTAGCTTTCAAAGTCTACTAACAAAATATAACTTTCCTTATTTAACAATAATGCTTGATATCTTTGTTATATGTTAACACCTATTTGAAATTTATGAATTTGTTTAATTTTACAGGAGCATGTTGCATAATATCAGCTTTACTTCTCAATGTTTATCTGCGTTCGCGAACCGTTGATACGCTAAATAAAATCGACTCTAAGAATATACCAACTAAATATTTTAGTCCTTCTAGAGTAACATTATCTAACCAATTATTTGGGAAGCGTCTCAACTCAGATGTAAAACACAAAGGCTGTGATGATACTTGTCAAAGTTTAATGTCCACTTCAAAATTGGGTCAAAACAGTTATGATACAAGTAATCAAGAAAAGTGTTGTAATGAAAGTGAGATCATGTTATTACTTTAATCAGTCCAATAAAATTCCTCTTAAATTTTCTGTGATAATAAAAAAAAACTTGATCATAGAAATTTCGTGTAAGTTATGAATAGTTGTTCATTTGGAATCCACTAATTGACAAACAGCGATCTTAATTTTTGTGAGTACGGATTAGAAAATCTTTTGTAAAAATTATTTTGTGTATGAGAAACATTAACTTATTGATAAAGTGCGACTTTGTTGTGAATCAAGAGAGCTTTAGGATACTGAACCATGCTACTTTGTCAGTGGTATTGAAGTGCTTGATTTTTAGTATAAATCTATGACTCGATGATTAATAAGCATTTATTCCGTTTACCTTAAAGTTCTAGTGTAACATTTCAACCACTCTAAAGCAAATCAAACTATTATATACATCAAATGAATACATTTATTACTATCACTAACTAGTTCTGAACACTTGTAGTGTCGGTTATTATGTTAAGCCCATTATACCTTATTCCAGCTTTCGGACAGCCCATTCTATTCATTCTACTTGAGTCACATCTTGACCTTATTGATTATTCGCTTATCAATCTTGACTGTTTTTATATGAGCGCGTAGGTGTGTGTACATTCCTTATCCTATTCATCACATGTCTGTAACTTATTTTTGTGTAACTATAAATATTGATTAACGCTCGGTCTAATGGGGGTTGGCTTACCCTCCATCTCCACTGCGCGTCGTTTTGCTTTGCTCTCTTTCATCCGCTTTGTATACAAAATATATGTATTCAAAAATCGATTCGCGTCATTTGACTTATTTGATTCCGTTATTCACTGAACGTTGTTTAAGTCGATAAAGACATGCGAGGATAAACGGCATATACAATTCAATAACAATCATTCATGCGATCTACTTGGAGTCAGGACTCGGGCCACTAAAGTGGAGAGCCCGTCAACAAACATCGTCCGATCTAAATGACAAAATAAAGGGCCCCATCAAATACTTTTTATATTTACGCTAGCCTAGTGTTATCTAATGTTTTATAATTACTCCAAAAAGTTATTGAAACATTGTGTTAACAGAGCTAAGAAACTTTACGCTTCCAATAAATAATTATATTGGATTTGATATCCGAATAACATGGGAATCAGGAGACTTATCGGGTTAAATTTGACCTCATAAGATATGAATTATTGTGATGAGGTCAAAATTAATTGTATTTAGTCTTATTCTTATCCATTCAGGATATAATTTGATATGTGATAATTTAGTGGGAATAGATACGTTCATCATAATACATGACTTGTTGGTCTAACCACCGCCTACTTTGACGGGCGATTTTCGGTGGTGTAGAAGAGGACTGGAAGAAAGGTAGGAATACTCAAACCAAGACATAGCATTAGTCGACAAAGTCATTGACTGTTGATAGTGTAGTGAAAGAAAACAAAGGCGAGGACAACCAAATGTATTTGGGTACGCAACTACAGAATCTCTCAATAAAATCTGAGAACCATACAGTAAATACTTCATTTGCAGAGTTTTAGTCAGTTACCTCAAACTTGATTGTCCCTTCGTTTCCACACCAATCATTCTCTGTTCTTATTCTCTTCTTCTCGATCTTTTTAATCTTCTGCCACCAGGCATTCCCACTTCAACTGGTGATACATACTACTTATATCTGTCGACATTAGTAGCACTCACTACAATAGACGCAGACTGCTTAATTGGTATCCACGCGTTAAGCGCTATCAGTGGTGGGAGACTTGTGGTGACAGTTCAGAATTTTCCAAAATGGTGCAGATTCATTTATTCCTCACCTTCCTCTCGATTTTGAACTCCAGTATACCCCTGTACGTGTCTAACCACTCTGTCCTTTTGAACCATATTCTAATATACAGCCTTTCTTGTTATCATTGCTACTTTATAATCCAATCCATTGATGTTCCTCTTGTTATTTCCATCTCGTCGTCTCAATGGGGTGTAGAAACTTGGGCCAAAGTGCATCTTTGCCAGGCTCCGTTTTGGTAATGACTTACTAAGAAACGCTTAAAAAATCAAAGCATATATATGCAATAAGCTTATTTCTCTGATTACCTCTTAAAATCCACTTACATTAATTTAATACAAGATTTCTTGATTTCTTTATTTTCCAACTCAGTAACCCAGTACAATTTCTTGTGGTCACTTTTAATCCACACATTTTGGCCCGACAGCCAATCGAATAGATAGGTATTTGAACCTAAAATTTAGTGGTTGAAAATCAATTTCCTTAATTGGAGCAGTGGCTTGGTGGTCCACCCACTTAGTCACGGGTTCAAACCCATTTCCATCTGACTCGAGTTAGCTAACCAAGGAGTATCAACACTCACGTTTGTTTTTTTCTCTAGAAACGAGCAATTATAAATAGGTTTACAGTAGAACCGTAACTTCACGCTTTCGGGAATCGGTTGATTAAGTGGTGGTTAAAATACACTTCACTGCCAAATGTGACCTTCCCATATTTAAATTTTGCCTTATGTAGTTTGGTCTAGCAAGCAGATCATATCACAAATCCTCACATAAGTAAGTATAACTTAAAACTAAGTAGACCAGTTTATACTTATTGTGCCATCTAAAAAATTTCATAATTAAATACTGAGCCGGTAAATCATATTTTGAAAGTTCTTTGACAATCACACTAAGTTGATTATCTCACGTGTTTTAAATTATCAGTATCCGGTTTTTTACATTTTAGAAACTAGCCGATTATCGAACAACTGTCAAGATAAAGATTTTACTGAAAATCACGATAATGGCGTGACAATTCAACCCGTTAAAGTGAATATTACTAATCAAATATCAAAATTGTTTCGTATTTTAAGTCCAAGACAACGTTTATTGTTGGGTACCTCCGCTAGTGTTCACATGTGCAGTACATTTTTACGTTATGCAATAGGCGATTGGATTGCAATTATGCTTTTGAATAATAAACATGGTTACTCACAAAGTACCGGTTTGTGCATATTTGTTATTTTTTGTCGTCCCATTCATCAATTATGTTACGTTGGTAAAATAAACTTTTTAATTTTATGCAAATATTCGTCAAAATTAGGACGAATAGTTTGACAGAAATTGGGCGCCGAGCACAGAGAAGTCATTATATGTGAAAATTATATTTGAAATAATCTCAGCGATTGAAATTTAAATTTCGCTGATTGATCAGAAATGAACGTGTTATAAATTGGACTAAATATCACTGTTGTAGCTTGATCCTTGCTACAGAAGAGTGACCGCAATTAATGAGTACCTGCAACTACTCTTCAACACTGTTCCCCCAGTACTCGTGACTCTGTCCTCAACTATTAAGAAAGCAATACCTAACCTGTGAAGAATATATATTAAAGAATAAATATCACTCCTTACTTGCTGTTTCTCTACCCGATAATTATTGATTACATTTACACAGTTATAACCTAAAACCGAGTGAACTACATAACAAATTTTATCAGAATACAATCGAATGTCTTATTAAAATAGTAACCGAATTTATCTAAATTCAATCAACAGTCTTACTCTTGATCTCTTCTCATAAATTAGTGTGAACATCTCAAACTTCCAAGAGAGCCAGTCTTTTTGTTCATGGCTCAGTAGTAATGTTGTGTCTATGATATTGACTGGTTACTGTGGTTTAGATCTAACAGCGAGCGTAGATTTGTTCAATGTCCAACTGCAAACTTTGGTAATATTTTAGTTCAGTTTTAGAACTGGAAATGTAATTAATTTTTAGCTATACCTATAAAGTGAAATAACAAGAAATTGCTGGCGTAAAAGTAAAAATAATAAAACTATATGAATACAAAAAAAGATAATGGTAAACTGTCATTTATGTGTAGTACATCATAGTTCGTCTTTTTTGAATAATTTTTTCTGGTTAGCGTTTTTTTAGCGAGTTAGTTTTCTACGGGATGGGGACGCTAACCCCATGCCCAACCCTCCTCCTTTATCCGGGCTTGGGACCGGCAGTAGCCCCCGGAGGGACTCCAGACGCTAAAGATCAATTCTACAATAGGCTGCAGTCAATAGTCGAGAAGTGCCCAACAAAGGACCTGACCATTCTGATGGGAGATTTCAATGCCAAGGTTGGAACGGACAACACTGGATATGAAGACATCATGGGACGACACGGACTGGGAGAAAGAAACGAAAATGGTGAGAGATTTGCAAATCTATGTGCCTTCAATAAGCTGGTCATAGGCGGCACCGTATTCCCACATAAACGCATACACAAAACCACATGGACTTCACCGGATCACTCTACACAAAACCAAATCGACCATATTTGCATCAACAAAACGTTCAGGAGGACTATAGAGGACGTGAGAACCAAGAGAGGAGCTGATATAGCATCAGATCATCACTTACTGGTCGCCAAGATGAAATTGAAACTCAAGAAGCACTGGACAACGAGGCAGACAGTATCACAAAAGTTCAATACGGCCTTTCTCCAGGATACTAACAAACTCAACAAATTCAAGATAGCCCTCAGCAACAAGTTCCAGGCCTTTCATGATCTACTCAATGGAGAAGGAACTACTGTGGAGAGCAACTAGAAGGGGATCAAACAGGCAATCACTTCAACATGTCATGAAGTCCTGGGTCACAAGAAGCACCATCACAAGGAGTGGATCACTGTTGGTACACTGGATAAGATTCAAGAAAGAAGGAACAAGAAGGCAGCAATCAATATCAGTCGAACAAGAGCAGAAAAAGCCAAGGCACAAGCTGAATACACGGAAATAAACAAACAAGTGAAGAGGAGCATCAGAACCGACAAACGTAAATATGTGGAAGATTTAGTAACGACAGCGGAAAAGGCAGCAAGAGAAGGAAACATGAGACAATTGTATGACACGACAAAGAAACTCTCTGGAAATCGCCGCAAACCAGAACGACCAGTGAAAAGCAAGGAAGGCAAGGTAATCACCAACATTGAAGAGCAACAAAACAGGTGGGTAGAACACTTCAAAGAACTGTTGAATCGACCAGCTCCACTGAACCCACCCAACATCGAAGCAGCACCGACGGACCTCCCAATCAATGTTGGCCCACCAACAATTGAAGAAATCAGCATGGCCATCAGACAAATCAAGAGTGGCAAAGCAGCAGGACCGGACAACATCCCAGCAGAGGCACTAAAAGCAGACGTAGCGGCAACTGCACGGATACTCCACATTCTCTTCAATAAGATTTGGGATGAGGAACAAGTACCAACAGACTGGAAAGAAGGACTACTGATCAAAATACCGAAGAAAGGCGATCTCAGCAAGTGTGATAACTACAGGGGCATCACTCTTCTCTCAATACCGGAAAAGTGTTTATTAACAATTGTCTACGCAAAATACTTCAGATCCATTGGCCGGACACTATTAGCAACAACGTACTGTGGGAGAGAACAAACCAGATCCCAGTGGAGGAAGAAGCGCTGGAAGTGGATAGGACACACATTGAGGAAAGCACCCAACTGCGTCACAAGACAAGCCCTCACATGGAATCCTGAAGGTCAAAGGAAAAGAGGAAGACCAAAGAACACATTACGCCGAGAAATGGAGATAGACATGAGAAAAATGAACAAGAATTGGATGGAACTAGAAAAGAAGGCCCAGGATAGAGTGGGTTGGAGAATGCTGGTCAGCGGCCTATGCTCCATTGGGGGTAACAGGCGTAAGTAAGTAAGTAAGTAAACATCATAGTTCGAGACTAATCCAGCAATTTTTTTTACAATCAATAGTTATTTGGATTGTGATTTATAATTAGCAATCAATGCATTTTCTTCCCTCATTAGACTTTATCAAAATCTCCTAACGAAATTTAGCGTAAGAAACCCATGGACTGTATTCACTGTGTTCGGTTATGTTTTGGAATATATCTAGATGATATATACTTGAGTTGTAGTTTCGTGGTATAGACGTTGAATTTACATTTATTATGTCGCATTCTCAATCCATCTAGTTGATCCTGTAAATCCTCTCGTTTCCATACAAGAGTGATGATTCACTGTCTAGTATCATGAACCTATACTTAATTTTAATGTATATCCAGTTGATGATGTTAATTAAAAGCAAACGTTTATAAAGTTCTCAAACAAATCACATATGTCTACAATTCACCAAATACTGTTTCATAGATGTTACTAAATTATAAAGTGAATATATTTCGGATGATGTTTAGTTTGTTTATTTAATGTAAGTAATCAGTATAAATTTCATTTGAAAAAATCGTGTATTAGTTCAGAAATTTCTACCATTGTCTTTCTTTTCCAAAAAACACTTATTTTCACCTATTCATTTCAGCTTATTTAGTTGCCAGTAGTTACGAATTCGGTGGAATATTTGGGTCTATGTTCGTTGGAATAGTAGCTGATTTGAATGTGTTTTCTGTAAGTTACAATCAGATTTTTTGCTTGGTGTATGGATGGATATTTTATTATTCTGGCCCATGCTTTTTATGATTATTGTTTATTAAGACAAGTTAAGATATATTTGATAGTAAGACGGTTCACAGTCGGATGTTTTCTAGTCTTAAGTGTTTGTTTGGGTTATATAAAAATTGTCTTTTCAATTTTTTCGGGTTTTCCATTAATTGATAGACTCATTTCATTGTTAGATAACGGTGACCACTTACCACAACTTTGTGCAGTCTATAACCTGTTTCCAGCTCGCACTACCTACCACTACAGTCATCGCCCATGTGTCACCTGACTTCCTCCTTGTGCATCTCAAACCTGGACTCAGATTGATCGCATCGCGATCACCTACCACTGGTGTGGCTGTGTACAAGACTGCCACTCCTTGTGGAGTATCTATCTGAACTCTGATCATGCCCTTCTTTACGTCAATTTTATCTTACGTTTTAGCGGCCAACAAATTTATCGTCCCAAACGGATCGATATCAGCCAATTGGTTGCAGCTTCTATTGCAAATAAATGTCAAAGCCAACTGGGTTCAAGGCTAGCTACCATCCACCAAAAAGTATAGATGAGCGTTGAATGCACTTGCATGACGCCATGAAAATGGCGAGTAAAGTTGCATGCGGCTCCGCGAAACGTCCCACTTATAGGCACAGGGTTTCTACAGCGTCCTTACAAATCACTGAAGTACGTCAGTCTACTCCGGATGGCTGTGAGTTTGATCATAAACGAGGAGTGTTACGTAATGAGATTGTGCAAAGCTTGCGTAGGGACCGAGAAGCCTGGTAGTCGCAGCGTGCCATTGAGTTAGAAACAGCAGTTGCATCCGGTAACTGCTGGGAGCTCTTTCAACTCATCCGAGTCACTGGCAGCGAGAAGTCTGATGTGAGCGAAACAATCTATGAAGATGACGAGATGCCAATCATTAACACCAACCGATGTCTTGGACGAGTACCAGTTCAACTGGTCTGCTGCCCCGGCAACATCGATCACTGTCCTGCTCTCCATGGCCTGTGACGACTGATCCACCTAACGAGGCAGAAGTCCGCAAGGAACTCCGATTCTTGAAGCGCTACAATTCACCAGGCTCAGATGACTTAGCTTCGGTCCTTTGTAAAGATGGTGGTGACTTTCCGGTTAGGGAACTAACTAAGTTCTTTAGAATGGTCTGGCAATTAGGGAGTGTTCCAACATCATGGAATGAGTCGATAGTTGTTATTATCCTTAGAAAGGGTTCATGTCGTTTCTGTAACAACTGTCGGAGGATACGTCCACTTTCGATTGCGTCCAAACTATTGGATTCCGTCATACTTCGTAGATTGTTCAAAATCCAAGAAAGATTGTTTTGAAATGTGCAGGCTGGTTCACTGGTATTGTCTATTGAAGTAGGATGTGCATGAGAAGTTTAATGATATCTCAAAAGCCCTATATACAAATACCCCAGGCAGAGTGAGGGCATAGAACCATCTCTCTCCACTGTTCCATTCAAGCAGTGGGGTTGCTAAATCTCACCATTGCTCTCCAACTTTGCCATTGATGACGTTCTGGGAATAGCTCTGACGGATGTAGGTAATGATGGTGCAGATCTGTTGCCTGAAGAAAGACGTTTCAACATTGAGTATGCAGATGACACTATTTTACTGTGTGATGATACTCAAGTCATGCAATCCGCACTAAATCAGTTGGCAATCAGTATCCGTAGGTAAGGTATGTGCTTTGCACCTTCGAAATGCAAAGTACTTTCACAAAACTGGCAGGACCATAATCCTGCACTCACCCTGGGTAGTGAGCGGATACAAGTAGTTGAGACGTTCGTGTATCTAATTAGCTGTGTAAGTGCTGTTGATAGTTTGAATGATGAGATAAATTCACGTATAATGAAAGCCAGAGAAGTTTATGCCAATCTGGGCCATCTTTGGCGGCTTCGTGATGTTAGTCCGGCTGTAAAAGGTCGGATCTACAACGCGTCGGTAAGAGCAGTTTTGTTCTATGCTTGTGAAACCTGGCCTCTCCGAGTTGATGTTGACGACTGTGTGTCTGGTCATCGTTGTCTCCGAAGGATTGCTGACATCCAGTGGCAACGTTGTTATTAATGCAGAGGTTCGACATCGTGTGTTCGGGCACAGCGGCGATAATTCAATTAGTGTCACTATCTTGAAACATCGACTTCAGTGGCTTGGATATGTATTTTATGAATGTCGCCCCAGAGAATCCCACGTCATGCATTATTTGGTGACGCTAGGACCGATTGCAAAAAGCGGAGAGGTGGTCCGTTTATGACGTGGTGTCGTGGTATGGATGGTAGCTGTACAGAATTTGCTTCTGTCCTTCACGACTCCTTGCTTGTCGTCCTAGAGATGGTGCGACACAGTGGCTTGAGACGTTATCATGTATAATTCAGAATAAAAGCATGTATCGATCCTGCTGTTACTTTCAATTTGTTCATTAAAAATCAATGTATCTTCTTTAACTGAAAGAATTCTTCCTGGTTGTACTTTTGCTAACTGAACTGTATCTTCCATTATTATTATTTCACTCGTATCTATTAATTTCTATTCGTTGTTTTTTTGCTTTATTATACACACTTTACATTCTGCATCTTTTCTTTGCCGCATTGTTAATGTATGGTGCATGTGTATTTGACTCCGCTTTGTACCACTATTTATGTGTTCAAATAAATAAGAATAAATAAATTTGATTGACTTAAAAAAGCAGATATTTAATATATGGATATTCATAGAGACTAATCTCATTTTTTCAAATGGATTAACGTTAATAGTTGAGATCATGAGTCAGGTGAAGCTAGACCACCATGGAAAACCTGGAAGCACTGGACGGCCGTTTCGTCCTAGTGTGGGACTCAACAGTAGTGCCCATCCACGACCCCGCGTCGCGGCATTTGAATCCAGAACCTATCATTCTCGCGCTCGAGTGCTTAACCACTAGGCCACTGAGCCGGCATCCAACGGTGTTAATGTCTAACTTCAACTACCCCAAAAAATTGAGCGACACATGCGCTATTGTCATCAATGTGTTACTATGTCTCAACTGACCCGGTTGAACTGCACTGGTCACCGCTTCTCACTAGAACTCCGAGATATACATCTAGTGGTTAAGCGCTTGCACGCGGGACTGATAGGTTCTGGGTTTGAATCCAGTGAGGCGGGGTTGTGGATGCCCACTGCTGAGGAGTCTCACAGTAGGACGAAAGGACTGTCCAGTGCTTCCAGGTTTTCCATGGTGGTCTAGTTTCAATTGACTCATGATCACAACTATTGAAATTACTGCAATCTCCTTATAAAACCCCTTCTGATACGGATTAACCTCAATTCGTTTTTATTACTAAATTTTCTGGTTAGCGTTTTTTAGCGAGTTAGTTTTCTACGGGATGGGGACGCTAACCCCATGCCCAACCCTCCTCCTTTATCCGGGCTTGGGACCGGCAGTAGCCCCCGGAGGGACTCCAGGCGGAGTTCAATTCGTTTTTATTAAACGACGAATATTCTCGATTATGACATCAAATCGATTCAATATAAACTGGTAATCAAGCATACAATATCAATAAAATTGGTAGGAAGACAGAGGGTAATACATTAGTTCGTAAGGGGTGTCTAAATATTTAAATTGTCTTTTTAGTTTCTTTCCTAGAATTGTACAGTGAAATACTTTTCAAAAGAAACTAATAAATCCAAAATAATATCAAAATTCAGAATTTAGAGGAAACTGAGGTATTTATCTGACTGTGAAGTGATGTCGCTTAAAGTTTCCAACTACTAGTTATAGTTGTCTCACTAGACGTCAACTGAAAAGCCAGCACTTTTCTACACAACTCATACCAATAGTCAATGACTTCCTCAGTTGATGTCATATTTTAGAATGGTCCACTATAGCCTTTTTTAATCTATCCGTTCTCTAGATAACATAGTGCTGAAGTAGACCATAAGGACTACGTATACGATATACATCCTAATCACTTCATTCATTAAAGTTTCTTAATGCGATTTATCAGTTTACAATATGTGCTTATATTTCCCTGAATTTAATCTCAATAACACTCATTTAGTGGTCCCACCACATTCAACCAATACTCGAACGACACCTATACTTATATCCTCACAACCTATACACTTTCAAAGTATTTTCAATCGTTGTATTTCTCAACATTGAAGTAACCTCAATCAAATTAATACAAAATATAACGTCTTAGGATAGGCTATCCGTCATTAGTTTTGGTAATTTTTTTCAATATTTATTCAGTTATATATGTTAATGCAAAAAATTAACAGCTGCTAATAAATTGAGTTAAAATCAATGCCAGAAATGGTTAAAATTCGTTCTACAATTATTTATTTTCAACGAAATGAAATACTAGAAAAAAGCAGGTTAGGAAAAATAAACGCTTTCACCTATATTCATAGTTCAGTGAACTACTAATAGTTACGCTATTTGCACAATACGCAAATTCATTTTAAGCTTTTCCATTCATAACTATTACGTCGACACAAGTAATTTATCATAACTGATAATGAGCAAAGATGGATAGTGACTAGCAATAGGGTCCATGACGCCCGTTTCTTCTTATTTGGAACTTGTCAGCTGGGTGTACCTGCATTTCAGAGTTGATGTTCACTCTGGAACTCGAACCCGGTACCGTTCGCTTCAAACGCCATTGCGTTGTCCAGTTAGCTACTGAGTCCTGGTAGCCACTTGCTTGTGCAATGGGGTGAAGTTTAAATTTACTTGGTATTGTTTACTTGAATCTTCCCATTGATATTTAGGACTGCAATTGATGAGTCTCTTATTGGCATATGTCCGTGCTGTGCGTATTGCGAGTCCCAGAGTGAACATAAACTCTGAGGTACAGGTAAATCCAGCTGACAAGTCCCACATAGGATGAAACGCGCGTCATGGATTCCACTGCTGGCCACTATCCATCCTTGCTTATAATGCTTGTGAATTAAGGCAATAACGGGGTTATGCGCACAGTAAGCACATATGCCAATAAGAGACTGGTCAATTGAAGTCTTAAACATCAATGGGAAGATTCAAGTAAACAATACCAAGTGAATTTATAACTGATAATGATTCTCAAGTTATTTATCTCATTGTAAAAAATAGGTTTCATTTTTTCGGAGTTGAACTAAGATTCAAAACTTCACGTTCCTTCCCATGAAATCTTTACTTAAGTTGTACATTCGTAGTAATAGTTATTTGATAAATATATAAATACGAGTGTATAACTTTAATAAATGATTTTTTCGAAAAGAAAACTTTCTTCGTTGAATCTTTATTTTTACTAAATGAAATTAAGTTTTTTTGTTTCAATTATTCCTCACTATAGTAAAAAACTATGTACGATATTAACATGAAGAATTATAAAACAATTAGGACCAGTAGAAGCTGTTACATAAGATCTCTTCAAAAAATTTCCCCATTCTTATTACTTCTGTTCCTATCTGAACCCAAATAATATCACGACTAAGTCACATACTAGCTTTAATTTCTGATTGTTTCTGATAAACCAACTCAGTAACATGATATTTACAACCTCATCGAGGACTTTTATATGCAGCAACGTGTGCTCATCTGATACACAGGTATCTTTTATTAAGTGACTACGTCATAAATTGATTGTTTTTCAGTTCTCATATTGTTTCAGTGACAACATATACTAGAATGGTTTATGTAAAATATTTCCAAGTCATTGGATTTATTTACTAAAGAACTACCTCCATCTTTCTTAAATACATTTCGTTTGACTTAAGCAATTTCGAGTCACCTAGACTAGTGGCCACGTTGCAACTTCGTCAATAGCATTCGATCTGCAGTAAGAAGGACTTGACACACATGACATTGATCACCACCCAGTGATCAATCAATTGTGAATAAGTATTACTTTCATAGTGTTATCGTCAAATGAAAATCAATATCTGTTGCATGTATTAAAAGGGAAATTCAAGACCCCAGAATTTCTAGACCCTTTATCTCAACAAAGCTATGTTAAATTGAGATGTGTGAATATAACTTCAAAAAAAGTAAACAGTTATCCGAAATCAGTACTTTCTGTCTTCAGCATATTATTACTACTATCCACATTTTTTTGCTTCCTCTAGAGGTGTGACTTAATACAATAAATCTTCTTGATCACTAGTCTGTGATTGTGACCTTAAATACTGTAATACATCTCAACATAAATCAGATTTTATAAAACGGGACACTTGTTGTTTCTCATAACTGTTCTCCTTTACAAGTAAAATAGTTGGCAACTGCTAAGGTTAAATCTGTTGAATTAGCTTGGGAAACCTTAAATATAGTCGACTCCCTTGTTCAGTTAGTTATTCCTGCACTCTGTACATATGCATTTACCATCAGTACAAAAGATTGAGACATTTCAAGACAATATTCGTTAGTTCCTAACAAATAAAGTCTATACTTTCTGTCATAATAAGTGGTTTACGTTGTAATCAATGTTTAAATGTGGATTGGATGTTAGTTATGGACATTTTTTTCCCTTGTAGCACTTATATTAGTGCTCACTATAGCTTTGTTATGTCATGTGCATTTGTTCATCCTACACTATCACATGAATACAAATAAAATGATTTGAAAATTCACCATTCTCTCGATAGTATATGTACCATGTATTTTCAAATTGGCTTAAACAGTTTTTCTGTTTCTATTAGATTAAATAGGCTGAAAATTTTAGAAGATATTTAAGACTTCTCTTTTGCCCCACTAACTAATTATGAGCCCTTTTAAGCGTATAATTCTTTGGTCTCATCAATCCTGGTTAGGCATTCTAAGCTTTGTCAAATGAATCAATAACCAATGGCTTAACTAATTATTATTTTATCTAGCATAATCACACTTCTTCCAGCATCACATTTCGCAGAAAATGATGATATCATGTATTTCACATTACCTCATAAAGTTCATCACTGCTGAGGAGTCCCACACTAGAACGAAACGGTCTTTTAGTGCTTCCAGGTTTTCCATGGTGGTCTAGCTTAAATTGACCCATGAATCCAACTATTAAACTTACTATGATATCCACAAAACTCCTCTCTGATTTTAATCAAATAAGACCGATACATATTATGTAAGTCAGATGACAATATCCTGAATGCGTATTCAATCAGTCGTTTAATACCACTCGATAACTTGTCAGTCACTATCATCGTTCTCTTACTTCTACAATATAACATCTGTTGCAAAATCACTTCGTATTGAAAATCTATTTGTATTATTTTTTCGCTAAGCAATTAATAAACTCCTGTTCTCTCTAAACGTCTTGTGAATTGATATGTTGATAATGGTTGCTTATTTTATTGTGTTTAATTATATAATGATAATGACATGTTCCAAAAACTACTAAAGAAAGGTAGTCAATTTACAGGCACAATCAGGTTGATACAAGTTACTAGGTAACAATAATAATAAATTTAAGTTTATACTTTCCAAAAAGATGAGGTTTCTAGGTTACTTCCGAATGACTATTTTGGACAAAATTTGAAATAATAAAATTTGTATAATTTTATTGAAAATTTATTAAATGTAATGTGTCAATCATATTAAATTCAACATTGAATTCCTTAGTTGATTTTTGTTCTTTAATATGTTTATCACCTTATTAATTCACATATTGTATTGTATTTTGACCTTAGAGAGTATTTTCATGGCCTAGTCGTCGGATTCCATTAATAATTATACAAATGTTAATTGCTAGTGGTACATTATGTTGTCTAAGTTGGATTACCAATCATAATGCTTCTTTAGTAAGTGCAAGTTTAATTTTTTTTTCTTTTTCTGATATTCATGTTTGCGGTATAGAAAAGTATCATGCATAATTCACCAAGTGCAGTTTCATTCATGTATTTGACTTTAAGTACTGTTAGGACTTGTCAAAATTATCGGTATGGGGTTGTGTAGATTGTTGAGTTTCACTGAAATCATGAGCCGATCGATGTTAAACCACCATTAAAAACCAGAAATTAATGGACTGTCGTTCCGCTCTAGCATGGGAATCCTCAGCAATCTGCATCCACAACTCCTCACGTGGGGATCGAACCCGAGACCTTTGATCTTGCGCGCGAACGCTTAACTTCTAGACCATTGAGGCAGGATCTGACGGTGTTAATGTCTAACTTCACTCAATCCACGATATTGACACAATGTGGTCACGGCTACTGGTATTGTGTTGTGCGCTACTGATGTCGACAGATATAAGTTGTATGTGTCACCGATTGAAAGTGAAATGCCTGGTGGCAGAAGGTTAAAAAGATCGAGAAGAAGAGAATGGGAACAGAGAATGATTGGCGTGTAAACGAAGGAACAACCAAGTCTAAGTTAATTGATTAAAATTTTGCAAATGAAGTATTCTCTGTATGGTTCTATGATTTTATTGAGAGATTCTGTAATTTTGTGTTCAAATATATTTGGTTGTCCCCACTGGTGTTCTCGTTCACTACAATATGACTAGCTGTTGTAACTCCCGAGTAAACAGCTATTTACTACTTATTACAACAGAACAAAACTAATGTGGCTAGATTCGAAGAAAAATACGACGTAAGAGATGAAGATTTTTACTTGCATCAAACACATATCAAAATGTACAGTGTAATATATGTCATTTTTAAATATCCGACTAATAACTTAATTTGAGTGCATCAAACTGTCAGTAGTCAATGTTAATTAACCAGTTATTTAATTTATCTATTTAATTTTCAAAATCAGTGTTTCAAACTGCCTGTACTGATAATTATAACTAAATTACTGAGTTATACGTTGTGCTCCTTTCTAATAGACATATTTTATATGAATCCGTATAATACCAACCAGTTGTTTAAGCAATAAGGTGAGGAAAGCAATGCTTGAACCTACAGTTCAATTACTGAAAGTCATTTTCTTTAAGCACAAAGTCATCAATTCACTTCTTGTTAGTTAGCCATGGATGATAACTCGATATTGAGTCTATAAGTATGATAACTTGATAGTCTGGTCTCATTTTCATTGACTAATGATGATGATGAATGGTCTACAAGATTGTATTATACAATTAATTCTTAAAATAATTTCAATATTGTTGGAAAATAGCATTGTTATCTTCACACATCTATTTAAAATTTGAATCTCTAAAAATTAATTAGTGTCTACTTGCTAAATAATATAAATTAGTGTGTTATTTTCAGTAACATTTCACAATTAATCTCTATTTTTATCTTCATAATTGTAGGACTTGATACAAAAAATTTGTCAATTACACTTATCTGTTTTCGTTATTCGATTATTCGATTTTTATTAATCATGATGAGATTCTTCCTCTATATTCTAAACAAGAGTAAAATAAGTCAAGTTTTAGATATGTTTTGCTCTTAGAAATCTTTTATCTTTGATAATATTTTATAGTTTAAGATCATATATATGCTCTACTAGTTACGGTTTATGAAATTGTAGTGATTAGTGAAATGGTTAGCGATCATGAGCTGTGCGTCTCATGTTACATTTGATCTCATTTTATAATCCTGTCTAAAGTAGGATCATGTTTAAAACGTAAAGGGGAATATTTCAAAACTTATCTAATATATCTTCCAAACTGCATGACTAGAATTACTAATATAAAATTTTTAACTTTTATACAGTAATAATAGGAGTACAAACCTCAAGAACAATTCTTAGTGTAAATCACTGTCTAAATTTATCCGATAATCACTGATCGTCCTACCATGGGACTCACCAGCAATGCACACCCGTTCCCCTTCAAGAATTGAGCTGTATGTCTCACTCTGGAAGCCTGACTTTTAGATCACTGAGTTGACGTCTAATTATTCATATTTCTAATTTCAATCAATTCATGATATTGCGCGGCCATCATCCATTGTCATCAGTGATACACATCTCACGATATGATTCAATTACGTTAATTACAACTACGGGAATTTCTGTTAAGGTTACCCATTGGTGAGCCCAAGGTCAGTGGAAGATTGCTCGAATAGAACAGTTTACGGCATTTATGAACGTGTTTATTAAAGTTTATTCATTTATGAAAACCATTGGATAATCTGATTGGATTTTCTCTTTAACCTTTTCTTTTTAGACTATACTCCTCATTATCAGCTTGGTACTTGGTATTACTGTTATCGGGACAATTGCTTTATGTGGTGTTTTAGCTGTTGAACTTGCTCCACCTGCTTTTAGCGGTACTGCACATGCGTTGAGTGCTTTGATTGCGAATTGTGAGTGATTATTTTTAAATAACTTTTTTAGATGTGAATCAAGCATGCAGGTCAAGAAAAAAATGAATCTTTAGTTTTGAATCTAACCACTTAGACGGAATTAGATTAATTGCGAATTCACTCAGCAGCCCTTCAGCTGGATGTTAAACGCTCTTACGATTAATCTAATGCCCATTCTTTTTTTGGTTATTTATTGGCCTCTGGAAATTACGGAAATCAAAAGAAACTATGTTGGTTTCTCTAACAAAATCTTTGTTAATTCAAAATCACCTGAAATAGTTTTGTTCTGTTTCAAATATGATCGACTTGGAAATAATTATTTCACTTTATTAATTATATATTTGCTCTGCAGGCAACCAGGAACTGATAACCATCTACACACCTTTAACAGTACTCAAAATCACCTCAAATCACTAGGGTTTTTATTTTAATTTGCAGTTCAATCACATGAGCGAATTCCTTACCTACTTGCGACTGTTACTCCTTGTGTAGAAGCATAGGCCACCCACCAGCATTTTCCATCGAACTCTGTTTCGGACAATTCTTCCCAGCTGCTGTTTGTTCTTTTCGTATCTGCTTCCAGTTCCTGGCGCAATGTGTTCTTTGATCTTCCTCTTTCCCGTTTCCCTTCAGGACTTCAAGTTAGCGCTTGTCTCGTGATGCAGTTTGATAGTTTCCTCAATGTATGTCCTATACACCTTCATTGTCTTTTCCTAATTTCCTCTTCATATGGAAGCTGATTTGTTCTCTCCCACAGTAGAATGTTGCTGATGGTATCCGACTAACGGACATTGAGTATATTGTGTAGACAATTGTTTATAAATACTTATACATTTTTGATGATAGTTGTGATAGTTCTCCAAGTTTCGGCTTCGTACATTAAAACTGTCTTGACGTCCGTATTGAAGATTCTGACTTTGATGTTGATTGTTTTGAGTTCCATATGTTCTTCAACCGTAGGAATGCTATTCTTGCTTTGCCAATCCTTGGTTTTACGTCTGCATTAGATCCTCCTTGTCCATCGATAATGCTGCCCCGATAGGTACGTGGAAGATTGTACCTCATCCAGAGCTTCTTCATCAAGTGTGATTGAGCTGGTGTTCTCTGTGTTGCATTTGAGTATGTTGCTTTTCACTTGTGTATATTGAGGCCTACTGATGCATGGTGAGCAAATTAATGTAAACTAAACTCCGTTCGTATGTATGATGGAATAGTAATTCCTTAGATATTAGGGCAAGCTTTTTCACTTTTAACCGAAGGTTCTCATATATGAAGAATTTTCCACTTAATCGAAATGAAGTTCTATGAACTCATACATTCCCTTGATGAATTTCCTACACACGATCTCTTGTTTTTGATGTATGTTTATTCTAATTAGGAACGCCAAACTAAAATGAATTATCTGTCCAGTGCTCACTGATTGTCAATTATTTCTTTGCTAATATCAGTTTGTGATAAAGAGCTAACTTTACATTGGGTTATGTTGACGAAGCTGTCACTTAGATTAGTTGTTTAGTGTCCAAGAATTCCTTGAAAAATGTGGGAAATTAGGCACTTAATGTTTTGAATGTTGACCGTCTTTTGACCTATTTATAATTTTCCTGACTGTAGTTGAACAGATTCATTGAACTAACAAATGATTTTTCCAAAGGATTATTCTACTTTGTTGACTTTATTATTTCATATTTTTTTCAAGGATTTATTTGAAGTCCTATATTTTATCAAACTCCGCCTGTAGCTCTTCTAGAGTTACTTCCAGCCCTATACCCGGGTAAAGAATGAGGGTTGAGCATGGAGTTAGGGACCCCATCCCGTAGAAAACTAACTCGGTAAAAATCCCTAACCAGAAAAAAATAATTCGAACCATTTAAAGTCTGCCCTGGGAGTTAGAAGGCCTTCATTTAGAAGAAATATGACGCCTCATGGTGAAAGCCGAACTCCTTCGGAAGCCATGAGGCCGATGCCCCTTCTAACAACCAGCGCAACAATTTTTATAGGTACATGGAACGTCCGGACAATGTGGGAGACCGGAAAGACCAGTCAAATAGCAACGGAAATGAGGAGATACAACTTGGCAGTACTGGGAATCAGCGAAACCCATTGGACCCAAGCTGGACAACGAAGGCTAAATACGGGAGAGATGCTGCTATACTCCGGTCATGAAGAAGAAAATGCTCCACACACTCATGGAGTTGCTCTAATGCTGTCCAAAGTAGCACGGAATGCACTTGTACGATGGGAATCTCACGGATCCAGAATCATCAAAGCATCATTCAAAACAAAGAAGGAGGGGATCACAATGAATATTATCCAATGTTATGCACCCACCGATGATAGCAACGACGACATTAAAGACCAATTCTATGAGAGGCTGCAATCAATCATAGAGAAGTGCTCAAGAAATGACCTCACCATTCTGATGGGAGATCTAAACGCCGAAGTCGGAATAGACAACACCGGATAGGAAGATATCATGGGACGACATGGATTGACTAGGTTGGATAGGTGTAGGTAAGTATGTATATATTATCACGCAACAGTTAACGTTGCCCTACAAGTTTACATTTGTCAGTGGAAAACATCAACGTAATAAATACCTTAGTTCTTAAATCAATTTTATTATCTGTACATTTCAGTTGGGGCTATATTGGCTGGTTACCCATTTGCTGTGTTGGCTGAACATATCAACTGGTCTGGTGCCTTTCTTGTAGCTGGGATAGTATGCGGACTTTCAGTTATTCCACTTTCATGTTTTTGAGATTTCCAACTCATATGTTCTTTTATTAATGTAGATTATTTTACAATTGTTTTTAGATGATGTGCACTTTTTTTCATTTTTAACATTTCTTGGTATTTCACGTTGAATATCAGATGAATTCAAACTTTCGTGGTTGTGGAATTTCCTGTTTCTACACCAATTTTGCATTTCATGAAGTTACAAATCCATACTATTGCTCCGAATTATATTTTTTGCCAATGGGAGTGTTTACACTTTATTTTCACTCAAATTCAAATAAACAATGTCTCTAAATGCATGTTGTTGCTTCAGGACTGACCTGCGTCAACACCTGAACTAAGGATAGGGAGTGAAGTAGTCGAACGCGTTGACAAATTCACTTGTCTTGGAAGTCTGATCAGCCCTAATGGATTAATGTCTGACGAGATCTCAGCACGGATTCGAAAAGCTCGCTTGGCGCAGGGTATTAGGGAAGGATGGTAAATCAGTCGATGAGGTTGTAAATCTTCATCGACTGAGATGGTTGGGCCACGTGTTACGTATGCCCAAACACCGATTACCACGACGTGCAATGCTAACCGGTGTTCGGGATGGTTGGAAGAAAGTTAGGGGCGGCCAAACCAAAACGTGGCATCAGTGCTTGAAGTCACTAAATTCTAGTCTGAGCCATGTTGGTAGATGCAGACTACTTGGTTGGGGTCCGCGTGACTATCGTAACCAATGGTTGGAGACTGTGTGTGAAATGGCTCAGAATCGATCACAATGGCGTCGGTGTATACACTTTCTGTCTTCTCTTAAACTAAGAGATTAAAATTGCTTCATATCTTTCTTTCTACGAACTAATTCTTTCTTCCTGTACTATATCCTTATTGCAATCTCTCTTTTATATATTACCACCTCTGAATTAACTACTTTTATGAATCCGGTGTCCATCTTGTTGTGTTAATGAGGTGTGGCAACTTGGACCGATACATATATGTGCCTGGTCCTACGTTGTACAACTGACTGATAAGTTGATGTATATTAATCACTGGATATTTCAATACTCTTAAAAGTAGGTATTCCGTCCCCATTGTTTGGTTGGAATACTTTTTTCGATCATTACCATTGTTCGGTTTCAAAGAAATCCTGAGTTGCTGCCCCTTACTACCATTTGTGTTGCTGTAGTAAACTCATCACGAAATCAAGGATTCCATCGTTTATTAAACATAAGGAGTGGATACACAAGAGTAGTAAATACTTACGGATAAAGATCGACTATGTCTGATTTTAGATTATTTGGTTAACCACTTCAGTTGTTTCTCCGTTCGGTCTAAGGAAATCTGTTAATTAATGATTGGGGAGGGGGGAGGAAAAACAACATAAAACGTAGCATGTCATTGGGAGAGGACGAAAAAGTATGCAGAAGATGCTACAGTAAACTGATTGCGATTTCGGAAGTCAGGTCTTGGGGATTTTGCAGACGGGGAGTAATTTATGTGGTGACGTGTATTGAAGTTATCAAAATAATGTTATGAGTATAGACAGTTAGATCTACTCAGTTGTTGATCCTGTATTAGAACAGTCCTGAAGTAGTAACAACTGAAGCCTAGTACTAGATGACTTCGGTAAGCATGGTATGTACGGAACAGACTTGCCCTTGATTACATTTAAATGGTACATTGATCAGGTTTCTTATAATTTTGGTGGGATATACTTCAGTATGTATCCAAATCTTAGACATTATGGTTGGAGAAATTATCTTCGTTATCAGACCTCGCACTGTATCACGTAGTTACGGATATTATGTCTTGATTATGTACTTCAGCTGCCAAACCGTGACTATCCGGTCTCATAATTCAGATTCAGGAATCATAAACGCATGCGAACCCACAGATATATAGGGGGCAGCAACCTCACACATGCTTGTATGTAAATCCCACATGCCTGCGTTCTGCATGACAACATTCCTTCTTTTCCCTCTGCATGAAATACTTCATTTATCTCCATATTTATCTATATTAGGTTCATATATCATTTGTCTGCACTAATTCTGGCGCCTATATATGGAGTTGATTCTCTGAACAACTGTTTCATCTCTGCTTTAATTGACTTTTAACGCATCTCTTTTTGGACTTGTGTACTTCGCAATTTTACTGTATGGACTGATTTCTCTTCCTATCACTTGTACTGGGATACTTTTCCTGTTTTTTTAAAGAATATTTGCTGTTGTTAACCGGTAGTTCATTGCATACTTTTTGTATTTCTTGCATAATTCTTATTTTATAGTTGATTGCTAAACTTTGAGGCAAGTTAAACTGATTTACATTTTTTCTTTAGATGACATGTTGTTTCTTGATTGGTGCGGTTGTTAGATTTGTGTAGTAAAACAAAAGATAGACAATTTTTCAGTGATTACATTTTTGCTTTCGAATGAGGTTTGAAGAGCTCTGGAATCAGTTGTATAGTTACGGATTGCATGACATTTTCAGTTATGGGAAGTAGTCTTTGAGATTACCAGGTACCTTCTCCTGGGATGAAAAAGGTCGTCTAAGGGGCGATTGTAGAGTATCTGCTTTATTAAATGTAAGCAAATTCATAGGGAGAAAGTCCGACTTGTACTTTCGCGTAGTGCTCCCTGGATAGTAGGTGATCACCTTCCCATCAACTGACGCAGGCGGCACAACAGAGTCTGAACTGACCGCCAAATCTCCACAAAGCGGTGGAGTCGGGTTTATTGCCCACACTATCCTAATTCTGATTAGCGGGATGAGAAAAGTTAACCTCGAATCGATAGCGCGGTTGTGGTGCTGTGGAAAACTTCATTTTGATGTCTTTAAGTCTGATAGGGGCAAGCCAGATCGTTAACCACAAACCGCAATGTAACCAGCGCACAGTGGTCGGCACTCAAACTATTTGCGGTGTGAATGTGAGGTGAGCACATCGTCTGTGACGACTTATTTGCGTACTGATTTAAGTGCTTGATATTCATTCAGTGTAAAAAGCTGCTGAACTGCACCCTAGAGTGGTCACAACCATACCTCTATGTATCCTTTGGAATATGTGGCCGTCGTTATGTGTTCTGTATTTGCATGTAGCGCATGCATGCAAGGGGAAAATTCCCTATCTGTATGTGGGCTTGCTTGCTCAATTCTATGACTCCACGAAACTTAATTAAAGGGCTTTTAGACTTTTAGGGTCGGCAACATATCACTTATCTCCAGTATGATCTACTAAGCTAGACTTTTTCTACACGAGAGAATAACGAACATTTTGCTGGATATTGTGAAGGTCGAAGACGGCTAGTTTGGATTGACCAACACACTTCGTGAGACTGGCGCACACAGTGGCAAGTCGTTACTGTTCATCCTCCCTTCCCATTCTATCGTGATAAAATGCAGTTATTTATGTGACGTGGTCCTATTTATTATCGAATTGTGCTATGAAAGCAGGATAATGTGGCTACCACGTTGGGAAAACTCAGTCCACACATTTGTCGTTTCATGAGAATTTGACCAAAGATCATACAGGATAGGCGGTCATACTATCCTCATTCTCCTCAAGTAAACTTAATGTCCGCGGATTTTAAATCTTCTGAATCGAATTACGATCACGAATGCCTTCAAGCGGTAAATATAACGTCCTACAGATATTGCTCATAAAGATTTGAAATTCATTTACAAATTATCTCGAAATGACGGGTACCTTAGTGGTGCCCGATGCCACCTTATCCGTTCTTGGAGTTATACCAAGTGTTGTCTCATTTCATTGCATCGCATATCAACTAAATACGGTTTATAACTTCTTGTGAATTATTTGACAGCAACCTGCTATCAACCACTATTCTGTATGTACTTATGCAATGTATCGCGAAACTGACACATTGATTTGGAACATGAATAGTCATTGCTGGATGCTGTGTTTACACACCACTGTTACAATGTTGTTGACGTTCAGCACCTCCTCCTACTGGCAAGTAGTAATCACACCGTACTTCTTAGGTTTTGGACACGGTTTACAGTATATGTCTGCTCCACTCCGTTTCCATGTCCTGCGGTCGTAAATTGTGCTGTGTCAACAGACTAGTCGGCCGATTCCGATGGATCGGTCAAATGTTAATGGAATAAATTTAAAGCCACATTCGAGTCTGTAACACCATCGTACATCCAAAGGTCAACACGTGAGCCATCACATTGCCTTCTATGGATTGACAAGCAAACCCGAATGCTCCGGCCTAGGAAACAATTCTGTGGCTTATTCATATCAACAGGCCACGAATCCTTTGAGTGCGAATACCAAAAGATCCGAGATATACGCAAAGAGAAAATTGCCAGATGCCGTACTGATTTTGAAAGACAGTTAGCACATGATAGCCGTACCTGCCTAGAAGATTGTTTTTGTCGGTTAAACCCCATCACTATTGCACGAAAATTTAGATTTACTCGCTAGATCAGATATGGTCGAACCTGGGACTTTATCAAACTATTTCCTCGAAGTCTACTCTACGGGTATTGTTACCAGCCTATGATCACATTACTGAGATTCCAGCTATAGGACCTGTATGTGTGACTGAGGACGCTGTTATTCAAGTGAGCATTAACCTCAGATCTAGTAAGACACTGACTCCCTGATTGTGGACATCATTCGAGGGCCACTCGCGATGCTCTTCAATATATCCTTTTCCCACAATCAAATCCTTAATGATTGGAAAATGCTATCTTAACCCCATATTTAAATATGGAAAGATAAAGATCACGTTTAACTACTAACCTTTCAATCTAACCAGGATAGTAGTTAAGTTGCTTGAAAAAATAAGTCGGTAAGAAACTTCCTCTGTAGCCGAAGACGGAGTGAGTGTAAACACGACACTATCTGAATAGAAAAGCAGTGCACTCCAAGGCTATATTTTAAGTTCCTTAGTTTTACTCTTCGTCAATGAATTACCGCGAATGCTTGAGTCATCGACACTTGTTTGCAGATACTGTCAATTTAGATAACTACAAGTAGTAAGGTTGTTCATCTTAGTTGCGAGGCTGACCTACACAAATTAGTCAATTAGTCACATATTTCGAGTTCACACATTAATTCCGAGAAAAGTGTGATCATCCATATCTGGTACGGTAATAGTTATCAGTATGCTATCGACGGTATATCGCTTCGTGTGTGCAGGAACACAAATACTTAATGGTGATAGTACATTACGGCTTGGAAACAACTTCACATTACAACGCAACAGTCGCCAAAGATTTTCGAACGTGGTGGTCACTTTGCTGAGCTTACAAGTTCTTTGACAAGTTGTTTCGAGTTCGGTATCCCACCTATGTAAGATCACACCCACAGTACTGTGTACAAGCAACCAGTTTATGTCTTATAAAAACGCCAAGTCACTTGGGCGTAATCGGCTTGTGGGAAAGAATTAGTGAAGGGTCTTTCGAACTCTTTTATGATGAACGCTCAAAACTCCTGAACATTTTCCCCTGATCTTATCGTAGGACTCCAGGTGAACTTATATTGGAATTTCGTATCTTTAATAACCATTTTAGTGTTACGATATCTGAACTTTGTGCTCCTCTTAGCACTAGTAATCTTCAAAACATTATCTCGAGGGTTCAAAAATGCAATTTAATAAGCTCCGAGTGTGGTTTCGTTTTTCTCATCGAGTGTTTTGCCCGAATCAGAGCTATCAGCCCCATCAGTGAACGTTTTCATTAGAAATGTGAACTAAATGACAAGCTGTAAGGATTAACACAGGTCTACTCATCTACTATGTTACGACTGAAGACTGAGGACTAGTGATTGAAAGCGGTAATAGCGAGAGCTGCGCTACTTCGTGACGTGTTTGTTTTATTTTAAGCTATGGTAAGAGTTTCGGTGCGATATAGTCCCCATTTGACTCCAATATTTAAGGCAAAAATCTCCAGAAATTATTTTCATTGTGACGGCGTAGGTAAATAACTATATATTACCCCGGATATTCGTCCTACACATTGTCGTCCAAAACTTATCTTCCGAGGCAGTTTATTTAGTGTTAATTTCCTATACCCATAATAAATAAAATCGAACAAAATTAAGCTGAAAGTGATCTGTCTCGTCTACTTACCACAACCTAATTCTTCTATTTATTCCCCAACGTTTATTATTATTATTGTTAATGTAGTTTAATAAGACGATCTTAATAGTATGAGTGCATAACTTTCCTTTATGTAGTTGGCACTAAAATTAGCATAGAAGTTTACTTGTCTCCTGGAGTTTCTCGCCTTTTTCATGTCTCTGTCTTACGTCAACTGATATCTGGTTTACTTGCGTTTTCTCAATAATGACTATGTATTTTTTGGAGACTTATGTATGTAAATCTATTCTTAGTAAATGAAATTTGTTCCGTTAAAGACCGCTTCAAGTTCACGCTATATGGATATGATTAAAAATAGGGAATCCATCTGTTCCAATATATGTGTTTTTATTCGGTTTCTAAATATCTAACCTATATCTTTTAAGATGCTTAGTTGTGAATTTAAAGTCCCTAAATACTTTGAGGTTAATTCAAAACGAAGATTAGTACATACTTTTTTAAGCTTTTAGACTGAAACCAGCAAATCGATTCTGATGTTAGCCAATTGTAGCATTAAAAGTCTCATTTACGTACGTATATTGCACATCAAATTTATTTTGATATTCTATCACAAAATCTTACCTTTCTTAGATAATTGTTTTCATCCAACTATTGGTTTAGGTTTCTGGCATTCAAACTATTGATACCAACCATGAAGACATGATAGTAAGTTTTTTTAATATTTCAAATACTGTCGAATTCTTAGCATGATGCTCAGTTGGACTACTATGGAACAACTCTAGCAACAGCTTCGTCTGATCATTCAGTTAAAATATTTGATGTCCGTAACAAGAAACAAGTTCTTATAGCTCACTTACGAGAGTATGTTTTAAGCGATTTTGAGTTAATATTACCATAAACTTTTGAATGTATTTCAACATTAGAGATATTACCACCATCCCAAAGTATTTATTAACTTCCTTATTTTATATTTCCGGGAGTCTTATCTAGAAGATGGATAGAATTCATCTTGTAGGTCGTCATAACAAATGTTCCTAGTCATGTGATTATAAAATTCTGAAAATTATCTATGTTAGGTGCTTTGGTTCGGTTTCTTGGACAGTATTTCAGCTCGTAAACAAATGTCATTATATTCATTAGGAAACTAATCTATTCCCTCTGCTTAGCTACCTACTTAAGCGATGCATTCACTAATACATATGAGTTTATTTTACTTTGTTTTGACCCATTCTGTTTTTTATTACCATTTCACTCATACTTTTAAGCACTGGGTTTACGTCGGTTCTTTACAACTTATCGAAGGATAATGATCTTCCATTCAACAGTACATATAGATTCTTATGTCAGATCGCATAAAACGTGCGCGCGAACTCAGATGCCTGGTTTTCAGCACGTGGTAATGAGTTGAACAGAACTACCAGAAAATGCTCCAACTTTATCTTAGTTTTTTTATTTAAACACATGAACATTGATACAAGGAGGCACGAAATAGATATGCACCACACAAATCATTCGTTTTATGTTAGAAGTAGGATACTGCCCGGGTGCCCGAACCGAAGTAGATGGTTTTACTAGGTGGTCAATCCTCAAACCTTTGACCTAAAGGAGCAACGTTAGGAGATGCAGTAACATGGTAACTGGTGGCTAACAACAGTTTCATACGCCTTTTGTTTCTTCGGGATTCTGGAGCTGATGTGCACCATTAGTTTGGGACCAGGGTTTCCTAACTTCCCTATGTGGATCCTCCGTATTCACTTACCCGGTTAAGGCGCCGGACATTCTCTGAGAGATGCTAGATCCCCAGAAATCACCTGTTAAACGCCTTATTTTTGCAATTTTATTTTGTACACTTGAATTTCCCGTTTTCGCGCCAATAGCGCTCATTTTTACCTTCAGATTGTATTTCTCACTTGAAAAGACTCTAGATGTTATTGGTTTGTTGGCTCTTTTAATACGCTGTTTTGTGACGTTTTCCATGGACCTCTTTATACTATATATATATATATATATATATATATATATATATATATATATATATATATATATATATATATATATATATACTTAAGTTGCATGCTTGGTTTGTTCGGGCTTCCGGCTGCTTTGGAAATATACCTTTCGTCCTAACCTGGTCTTCTCTGTTTAGTTAGCAGGCCTGGAACCCATCGGCATAGTTGAGCTTGTCTCGTCGCGATGTTACTGACCCTTCGTTCCATTCGCTGATTTAGGTGATCTCATAATCTCTTCAAACATAGTACATTCGCCTTTCGTCTTCTCAATTTCGTAAACAACATCCCTGCCGCGAGAAGGCAGTGACTAAGACTTCCCTGACAGTGGCTGTATACGCGTGACTATGTGAGAGCATTTAGAGAGAGAGCTTTCCTTATACACCTTTGGCCGTATCAGGGCATTTGGGAGCATTCCAACTGATTCAAGACACTGGGATCGAGAAGTCTGATTTCAGTTTAGTAACCTCTTAAGTTGGCAGCACGTTAGTTAGTAACATCCAAAGGCGCCTATGAGGATTGGCGGGATTTTTCGGGGAACATTTCATCTGGTTTGTGTCCTGAGCAATGTCGATCAGACTGTTTTGTCCCTCAACCAGTGACTACCATTATGTCTAAGCTAACAACGCAGAGGCCTGTAAGGAAGCCCAGCTTTTGAAGCACTAAACTTTTATATTTAAAAGTCGAAAGTAATCCTGATAAAAATATTCGTTCATAAACCGACTGCATCTTCAACACTTTCTGTCGGTGACTTACATGACACCAGGTCATACATACACAAAATACATGATTCCGTGTGGTCACTCGTATACAGTTAGTTTTTTTCTTAATCAATAGCATTTTTTAATTTGGTCTAGTTGTTTACAATTTCTTCGCCACATTTATGCATGATATAATTTCCATTTGAAAATTTTTCGTGTAAACTAATCTTTGGTTGTATAGACGTATTTCATACACATACAATCATCTGTTTTATTTACTAATCATTTTCATGTAGTCATCAAGGACCTGTTTGGAGTTTAAGTTGGTCCCATCCTATGTATGGGAGTTTATTGGCCTCTTGCGGTTATGATCGTAAGGTGATTATCTGGCAAGAAATCAATGGACGATGGGGAAAAGTCTTTGAATATGCTGAACATGCTAGCTCAGGTTAGATATAACTACAATACTTTGAAACTATATATAATCGTGTACCAGTATGAGATGACTAGTATCACAATTTTAGTATATTTTGAGCCATCAGTAAGTTGACAATTCAGTGTTTTCGATTGTTTAAGCAATAACTGTTTCTCATACAAGTCCATGAAGGTGATTCAAAATACTTTTTCATATATGTAATCCCACGTGTTCGCCATTACTCCTTTTGAACTTAGTAAACTTTTTCTATCTGTATGGGGAAGTTAATACGTTAGTGATCTCGAAGATCCTAAAACTAACATAGTCATAGTTGTTTTATCCAAAGCTTTCGTGATGGGATGTCAGGGCTTATTTTTTTCGTACATAACAGCCCTCATCATATTTTGGCTAACACAAGTATGCATAATTTCTTATATTATCTTGGCCATAAACATTCCAATCACTTACTTTCGATTATTTGTTGAACTTAAGATTCTGTACCTTCTACGATATTTTGCAAACTATGTGTCACTTTATAATTGTCCTTTTCAGAGTTTTCTTGAAATTTAAATCCGATTAATCACCACAAAATTCAAAATCATCACTTATATATTATTTTTAAGGTTGCTTTATAAAGATTTAATCCTATGTTTGTAGCGCCGCGCAAGCCGCACTTGCACGCTTAATATCTTTTTAATAATGCATCCACTAACTTCAAGCGGATTAATAAATTGATATTTATGTATGGACACTACAGTAGTAAATTTTTCCCTTCAAACAAACTTTTTTTTTAATTTAACATAAAATGGATGGGAAATTATTTTAAATGAGCACTAATCATCAACAAATCTGACTCACTGATTCCTGGAACTCTTAGCTACTTTTACTGAAAACAAGTAGAAAGGTAATAATGTAAGCAACAATTCTCTTCAAAGACTTAAATGCAAGCCAAAAAAATAATTCTACACACGAATAACTTTCCCAGAAACTAATTAGGTATTTTGAAAACACTTGGTTTTTGTAGAGATAAGGTAGGTTATTGTAGACACTCGGTCGTCGAAGTTTTGTGTTACAAATAAATGATTTAACTTCAGAACATTTGCATTTGGTTAACTCTACAGCTCTTAGTTTTGTTCTCCAAAGTCATCCACCGTTTGTTTTTTATTTAATAGTCAATTGCGTTTGTTGGGCTCCTCATTCTTATGGACTAATGCTAGCATGTGCCAGTTCAGATGGGACAATCTCCATCCTTATATCAGACGAAACGAACTCTTGGCGTGCCTTTCGAATCCCAGAAGCACACTCCGTAAGTGGTAGTATCAGCTGTGAGTTTTATGACCTCCTTGAATTTTTACCAAGTCGACCCCGTCATTGTTTAAAGCACATAAATTGGACATTATTATTGAAAAGCCATCGATATTACTTTTCGGAAACATAACAAACTACTAACAAACACTTTAGTAGTACAAAATGTATTATGTTCTAAGAGTGCATTTACAGTTTATTCAGAATGAATTCCATTAACATCGGTCTTGCATAGACCGAATCACGACACTACAGATCATCGTTAAACAATAAATTGAATGGAACTCGTCACTATACACCAACTTCCTTGATTATTAAAAAGCATTTGGCAGTGCGGATTGAAGGACATTATGGAACCGTCTTCGACACTATGGAGTACCTGGGAAGATCGTCAACATCATACGGAATTCATACAACGGACTACACTGCAAAGTCGTGCATGGAGGACAGCTGATGGATACATTCCTAGTAAGGACCAGAGTCAGAAAAGGTTACTTACTCTCCCCCTTTCTCTTTCTTCTGATAGTTGACCGGATTATGAAAACCTCCACATTTGACGGGAAACACGGAATACATTCGACAGCTCGGAATCAACTAGAAGATTTGGACTTCACAGAAGACCAGGCTCTTCTATCCCATACACAAGAACAAATACAGGTGAAGTCAACTAGTGTAGTAGCAGCCTCTGCATCAGTTGGCCTCAACATACACAAGTGAAAAGCATCATACTCAAATACAACACAGAGAACACCAGCTCAATCACACTTGATGAAGAAGCTCTGGATGAGGTACAATCTTCCACGTACCTATCGGGGCAGCATTATCGATGGACAAGGAGGATCTAATGCAGACGTAAAACCAAGGATTGGCAAAGCAAGAATAGCATTCCTACGGTTGAAGAACATATGGAACTCAAAACAATCAACATCAAAGTCAGAATCTTCAATACGGACGTCAAGACAGTTTTAATGTACGAAGCCGAAACTTGGAGAACTATCACAACTATCATCAAAAATGTATAAGTATTTATAAACAATTGTCTACACAATATACTCAATGTCCGTTAGTCGGATACCATCAGCAACATTCTACTGTGGGAGAGAACAAATCAGCTTCCATATGAAGAGGAAATTAGGAAAAGACAATGAAGGTGTATAGGACATACATTGAGGAAACTATCAAACTGCATCACGAGACAAGCGCTAACTTGAAGTCCTGAAGGGAAACGGGAAAGAGGAAGATCAAAGAACACATTGCGCCAGGAACTGGAAGCAGATACGAAAAGAACAAACAGCAGCTGGGAAGAATTGTCCGAAACAGAGTTCGATGGAAAATGCTGGTGGGTGGCCTATGCTTCTACACAAGGAGTAACAGTCGCAAGTAGGTAAGGAATTCGCTCATGTGATTGAACTGCAAATTAAAATAAAAACCCTAGTGATTTGAGGTGATTTTGAGTACTGTTAAAGGTGTGTAGATGGTTATCAGTTCCTGGTTGCCTGCAGAGCAAATATATAATTAATAAAGTGAAATAATTATTTCCAAGTCGATCATATTTGAAACAGAACAAAACTATTTCAGGTGATTTTGAATTAACAAAGATTTTGTTAGAGAAACCAACATAGTTTCTTTTGATTTCCGTAATTTCCAGAGGCCAATAAATAACCAAAAAAAGAATGGGCATTAGATTAATCGTAAGAGCGTCTAACATCCAGCTGAAGGGCTGCTGAGTGAATTCGCAATTAATCTAATTCCGTCTAAGTGGTTAGATTCAGTATCTATAATATTAACTTCAGTCATCATCCAACGCCTAACTAAAGCTTGTGAAAAACAAACCAGAGAAAACCGGGCTGTTTTCAGACCTGAGTGTGGATATGTTGACTAAATATTTACCTTTCACCAGGTTCTGAAATATAAACTTACCTACTGACTCCTGGCCACCGTTGTATTTTTCGAATTTAAGGCAAGGTTAGAATCAGTAGGTCGACAGGTTTTATGCCGATGTCCGTCATCGAAAGGCATACCAAAGAAGTACATTAATTTTGTACAGACTCTCCACTTGAACACCACTGCTCGAGTCAACTTTTGGTGAACTGTCACGGGAGTTCATAACTTCAAGTGGTATTGATCAGGGTTGTTTTCTTCCTTTATTTTTATTTTACCTTGTTACAGATATTCTTTTAATCAGTAGATGAGGTTGTGAATCTTCATCGACTGAGATGGTTGGGCCACGTGTTACGTATGCCCAAACACCGATTACCACGACGTGCAATGCAAACCGGTGTTCGGGATGGTTGGAAGAAAGTTAGGGGCGGCCAAACCAAAACGTGGCATCAGTGCTTGAAGTCACTAAATTCTAGTCTGAGCCATGTTGGTAGATGCAGACTACTTGGTTGGGGTCCGCGTGACTATCGTAACCAATGGTTGGAGACTGTGTGTGAAATGGCTCAGAATCGATCACAATGGCGTCGGTGTATACACTTTCTGTCTTCTCTTAAACTAAGAGATTAAAATTGCTTCATATCTTTCTTTCTACGAACTAATTCTTTCTTCCTGTACTATATCCTTATTGCAATCTCTCTTTTATATATTACCACCTCTGAATTAACTACTTTTATGAATCCGGTGTCCATCTTGTTGTGTTAATGAGGTGTGGCAACTTGGACCGATGCATATATGTGCCTGGTCCTACGTTGTAGCTGACTGACAGATATTCTTTTAAGGATAACGCTCATATCGTCCGTCCCCAGAATCGATCTTCTACCACGAGATTCTCTTTCTAGCTTTGAATACCTAGATGATATAGTTCTATTCGACGAAGACTGAGAAATACCGAGTCCTCTGGTCGCCTTGAGCAACGATGTTAGTATGTTTAGGCTACGTTTTCCATTCCCTATCTAAATACAAATTGCTGCTTTAGAGTTGGTTTGTATCAACTCCTGAACTAATTATAGGGAGTGATGTAATTGGACGCGTCGATCACTTAACCTATCTGGGAAGTCTCATCAGCTCTAGTGAGTTGGTGTCTGACAAAATCGTGCCAAAAATTCAGAAAACTTAATGGGCATTCGCACACTTCCGTCACTTGTGCGACGGTGGAGATATCTGTCTGCTGGCCGGACGACGAGTTTACTATGCAGAAGTTTGCTCCATTCTACTTTATGGGTGTGAGAAATGGCCTCTAAAAATAGAGAATATCCGTAAGTTACTAGTATTCAATCGTAGGTGTCTTCGAACCACTGATAGTACATTTTGAAACCATCGAATTGACAATTCTGAGTTTAGAGTCAGAGTGCTAGGTAATTGTGGCACATTGACTGAGATGGTTAAGAAACGTGTTACATATTCCCTCCGATCGACTACCTTGACGCGCAATGATGGTTCGTATAGGACTGGGTTTGAAGAAAGCTAGTAGTCAAATCAAATTATGGTATTAGTTCCTGAAGAAACTGACTACTGGACCGAGCCATGTATGTTGGTATAAACCACTCTGTTGCGGTCTGCGTGATTTTCGTAACCAATGGTTGTCATGGCTCAAAATTGTTTGGAATTGGGCAGATTCATTCACCATTTGTCTTCCCTTAGTTTGTGAATTTCCTGTAGATTTTTATTCCACTAATTTGCGATTTCTGGAATTGAATTTTGTATGTTTAATCTTTTCTAATACTACTAATAATGACACTATCTCTACTGCTGTGGGATTTGTCTGGCCGCAACTCATTAGCACAGCCAGACGAATTTATCAATTCGAACCGATGTACACATGTTCCAGGTTTTATCTTATGTATGACTAATTACACTACATTGATTAGTACATGTTCATTAAGTTTTTAGTCATTTCAAAAAATATTCGTACCTTTTAATCAGTTTTATGACAAATACGTAGTAAATCTTCTTGTATCCTTGTCAAACATGCATCATAAATCAAGTTATTTTTCTATTGTTTAAGGTTGGTGTTAATAGCGTGTCTTGGGCACCCTCCATAAATGCTGAATTTATATTCAATCCCACGTTGGCAACAACAACAACAACAAATACTATGATTCCTCCTATCAAAAGACTAGTTTCTGGTGGGTGTGATTCTTTAATTAAAATATGGCGGTAAGCTTTTCATTTATTGTTACTTTTTCGTTTTTTCTTTCAATATTTTCCAAATCATTACTAGTGTAAATATTAATTAATTATTTACCAAGCTGTCCCATGCAGATCAGTAGTGATGTTCAGTTTTATATCCCAATCTCTTTTAAAACTACTTCGCACTCCACTATCCAGTTTATTAAACTAAGTCATTCGCAAATAGTTTAGCTAGTAATTTCGTCCAATTTATGTGCGCTTCAGAAGTAATATTATTTTAACATTAGAGAATGCGCTTACACTGTCATCAAATGTTCTTCGGAACGATATTTAAAAACTTAATTCAATATGAAGTGGTTTGGATCATTCAGTTTTTGATATTTTTGGATGAAATTCGATCAGTCTAAGTTGGCATTTGTGCGTCCTGTTCGGATCGCCTCGACATAGCCATTGTGATAAAGTTCGACATAGATAAAATTGAATAGATGCAGGTACATCTAACTGATGAGTCACAAATAGAACGAAATAGACGTCCTGTATCCCACTACTAGCCACATTCCATCTATTCTTTATTTAAAACCTCTTTTCTCCTAACAAGCTCCTGCCCCCACCTTGACATGCCAGATTACGAAAGATGAGTATCATCCAGCCAACAGTTCAAGTCTAATAACCCTAAAGCAAATACCTTCATGTAACTCAACTGTGTCTAATTATTTCTGTCTTACCAGAAAGGGGTTTTGTGGAGATTGTAGTAATTTAATAGTTGAATTTATGAGTCGATTAAAGCTAGATCACCATGGAAAACCTGGAAGCACTGGAAGACCGTTTCGTTCTAGCATGGGACTCCTCATCAGTGCGCATCCACGATCCCACTCGCGGGATTCGAAACCACGACATTCGGTCTCGCACGCGAGCTTATATATATATATATATATATATATATATATATATATATATATATATATATATATTTGTTTAGACAAGTATTATTATCTACATCATTTCTTGCCGTGTGCCTATTTCACCCATAATTTAATAAACTGTCAGTGTTTGTCATAGACGCTGAAAATACTACCACCATACTGATTGTGTCAAATCAATGCTACGCCGTTCAGGTCATTATTTGTTAGACTAGAAACTCAATTGTTTTAATGTGTAGGTCAGTTGTTATTTTACTTTTGTTGTTTTGTGTTCTCTTCTCATTTTTACCTGAAATAACCGTGACCTAGCACAATTTTTGTACAGTAGCAGTGGTGGTGTCAGTGTTGACGATGATGATGGTAGTTTTTTTTAACACAGATTGAGTGGAATTTCTCGTCTAAAATCGGAGTCAGTATAATCTAATTAAAGTACAGAAAAAAATCATTCATAAGATATTTAGTCGCTAAGGCATTTGGAATGTCTACCTATACACCTTCACTTATATACACATACTTAGTCATCGTAGGTAGCATTGTTTATCATTTTATTGTTTTCCGCTATACCTATGTATATTAATATTCCAGTTTTGTGATGTGTTTTTCTTTATGTTCACCTGAGTTATTCAAGTGCATCGGTTTATTCATTGTAAATCATTCACTCACCAACCCCGTATTTCTAATCTTGTGATGTCTTAAAATATAAAATGTTTGTAAGTTAATCCAGTGAATGTAATTATTAGGAAGATAATTTTTGTTATTATATTGACTTGCTGCTGTAAATGAATTGGTGGGGGAAAAGAAGTTTGTAGTTTTTGTTGGTCTAGTTTCATACCTAAGCTGAATGCATTATCATTTTAAGGTTTGTGTGACTAAAAACAACACGTATTTAGTAAAAATGATAGATTAACATCTTACAAAAACATGTCAAATGAACACTATCTTCAAACTAATCGCATAAACTATAATCCCAAAGATTAGCAGCTATCATTGTACTTGTAATCAAATCAAAATACCAGGTAACTTTATCCAGACCAGATAGTGAGCAATAAACTCATATAAAATAAAATACTATCATATTGATTGACAGCATTATAGAACAATATTAGATCATTAACTGACTCGTGGTCTGAGTCGCTCAATGAATATGATTAGTGATTAGGAAGATGTTAGAAGAAAATTGCTTCAAGTCAATCTCAGTCGTCCAGATCTATTCACGCTTCATCTCACAACTTTTTCAGTTTCCAATATTATTTCATACTATTTATCTGGTGAAACCATTCTTTCTTCTGGAGCCATATTCTATGTGTAGAGTTGCTATTACTGGCACTATCGTGACGTTTGATCTTGGTCAATTTGGCTTCCGTGAATTCATCTCCAGAAAATATATTATCGTGTGACAAACATTTTAGATTTTGAAACTATATAAAGTCAACGTAACTTACAAATTAAGATTGTTCGTATTTTGTTGTTGTTGGAGGTGTAGGGATCGTTGTCACTTCACTGTTGCGTACACCGTGAAAGAATATTTCTTTTCAAGAAGTATTAAAATAAATATCGGTTATTAGTCACGATCCTGTCAATACGAGAAGCGTAACTTTACAACCTAAGAGAGACATCTGCTTGTGCCTGCTCATAAAGTCGGTCAGTCATTTACAATGTAGGAGCAGACATTTATATGCGTCAGTCCAAGTTGCCATACTTTATTAGCACAACAAGATAAACAGCAAATTCATATATGCAGTTACTTCAGTGGTAGTAATATATATAAATAAAGATTGTATACAGGGAGTAAGAATTAGTTCGTAGAAAGAAAGTGATGAAGTAATTTTAATCTCATCGCTTAAGGGAAGACAAAGAATGTATACACCCTACGCCATTGTGGTCAGTTCGGAGTCATGTCATCCAGTGTCTCCAACCAGTGGTTACGATAGTCGCGCGGACCCCAACCAAGTAGTCTGCATCTACCAACATGGCTCAGACCAGAAGTTAGTGACTTTATGGACTGATATCATGTTTTGGTTTGGCCGTCCCTAACTTTCTTCCATCCGTCTCCAACACTAGTCCGCATTGCTTTTGGTCACATAACTTTTTATAATTAGTTTGTTATGTATTATTTCCATATTCAGACTTTACAGGCGACATCAGATATCTATGTAGCAAGGTGAAATTTACTGGTTGTAGGTTCGACCCCCCTAGCTTTCATCGTGGGAAGGTAGTATTACTAGAGATTCTTGTTATCTATGAGAAATACCGTGCTACTACTATAACTCAGCACAGTTAGTAGTATGATTTTATCCTCGGACCTTAGATTTTTTACATAGGACCTGTTAATCAAAACTAACTTTTGAAACACAACAGTGTTTTGAAAAGAGTGAGGATCCGTATTTCGTATAAAATATAAATATTCAATGTTCACTCAATCAGATATTAACAAAATGAATGCAAAAAAATACAGTGTTAAAAAAATTGACACAATCATGTTGGATGGATTGGTAGACATCTTTAAAAGAGATTTGAAATTGGATCTATTACAATAGTGACATAATTGGTTGATTGTTAAAATACTTGATTTTCAGTCACTGAATAATTGCACGTGACAGACTCGCTTTTTAGAAGTCACACTAATAAATGTGTAGTTAACAAGAGCACAAGTGGGGGACAATCAGATGCATTTAACACACAATCACAGGACTTGTTAATAAAATCTAACAATCATAAAGTAAATACTTAATTTGCAAAATGTCCACCAATTGTCTCAAAATGATTGACTTCATTGTTCCTGCATTTTCATACAAATTGCATTTTGTTTCCATTCTTTACTGTTCGATCCTTTTGTCTCTCTGCTGCCAGACCTTCTGTTTATGAATAGCATCATGTACTACTTATGTCAATATAAGTAGCACACATCACAAATGTAGTTCATGCTCGAGTGTACTAGACCGTACTTCGTTAGTGAATTAAAATAATTTTCATTATCCATTTTGATGTTTACGTAATTATTAATTAAAATAAGACTACTACTTTGTTATGAGACAGTGTTTCAAACAGTTTATTGCTATTGGTTTTTTAAATTCATGTTTTCTTAAACACAATATAAATTCATAAATAATCATGACCACTTTGAATTGGTTGCATAATAATTACTTGCCAGTTTTTTGATAATTCTATCATAAACACCTAACACTCTTACTGGCCTCTTGTCTTATATCATTTCCAGCTTTGACAAGGACTAGTTATCAGACATGACTTCAAATTATTCTGTATGTTTGAGAGAGAAAATTTTTCTACTGTTTTATTCAATTTAATCATAACCTGTTTTTCAGATGAATTACAAAAAAAATGTTTTACAAACATAGAAATATACATATTATCTGGTTTCTGTTTTGTGTCGATTTAAAGAAAAAGTCTAACTTAGTTGATATATTTGCTTGATCTAACAATTGGATCTTCATTCCTCACATTTTATATATCATATGTCGATTCTCTACTACCTGTCTAATTTTTATGTTTTTATTTATGTCTACTCAAAGTGTATCGTTTGGATTTTTTCTTAAACTTATGTCTAGATCTCGTTATTTCTATAACTTATATCGTTAATTTTATTGGCTATTCTTATTCTTTCGTTGTACGTTAGTTACATCAATTCAAACATTTTTGTACACACATCATTTTATGTCCTTGAATAAGATCATTTTTATTTTTGTCCGAAATTTGTCTCTATGATCGAAAAATATTTTACACGCCTATTATTTCTCTTTTTACTCTAAAACTTAGTAATGGAATACTTTGTAGAACTCCATTACCATGGTATAAAAAATAGAATGGCAATAGATTTTTATTATAACAAATGTCTAACGTTACCATTTCGTATATGAAAGGAATGTTTGTTTTCTAAAAAATTGGTAGATATTATGCTGATTATAGATATGTAAATATTTTTATACTATTACGGTTGGATTAACGAAAATTGAACATTCCTTTCGTTCCACTTTTTATTATATCCTGTTCTTTTAAAGATTACCTATACTCAGTTTTAAATTCTTTAATTCGTTTGACCAAATGTTTAGGTGTCAGCAATTTTTTTCCGAAAAACTTGTGTTAATTATC